CAAACCCATATTCATGTGTGTTTGGTTCATATATATATTTGTATGTATTTGTTTATAACAAGATGGTAATGTTTCTGTTTCTTTAATCAAAAGGACTTTGATTAAGATAACAACTTATAATATTTGTTAAAGTCACCACCATTATTATTATTATTATTATTAAATTAAGCTGTTGATGGTTTCTGAGCTTTCATCTCTTCCACCATCATCTTCCACTGCTACTCTCTCTAGGCAAGAGCCTGCACTTCTTGAAGACCTCAACTTTATTTAATTTCCATGTTTTTTTTGAGAAATTCCATGCAAAAAATTTCTTTCATTTTCTAGGAAAATTTGTATGTGAGTAGGTGTGTGTGTGACTAGCATGACTTTGGCCATTGAGCTAAGGAGAACATAGCATTTGATCATTATATTTATGATAATCTAAAGATTGTGTGAGTAGGACTATATAATTTCTTAAAAAGACAAACAAGATGTCATGCTTTTGTTTTCTTCCAAATAGAGCCCATGAACTCAAATTGCTAGGTCTTATTAGATGCTTAAAATTAAGGTAGGGTAGGATGTATCTGTTTCAAAAAGGAACAAACCGCATCCTTTTTTTTTTTTTCTTCTCTTTTTTTGTTAATTAGAAGAATAATTATACTCTAATTGATTATCCAAACTGACGTGATCATAGTTGACAATTTTATTCCTTTGATGTCGTGGATAGACAAAGTATAAATCCCATCTAGACATTCACAATATTCATCAAAGGGATACAAACATTTTAGACTTGAAAATTAGGTCTAAGTAACACTTTTCTACATACAAATTTGCATAAGATGTAATCAAATTAAAGTCAATCTCATTTCTCAACTCTCTTTCTTAATAAAATCCAACTAATAATAATTGGTCAATTCTGGGGTTAATAACAAACGGTTCCGGTTGGTCGTGGCGTCATTATCCATGCCCTAATTTTTAGTAAGCTCAATATATATAGATGGGTATTGACTAGATATGTTGTCTTCTTGTTCCTGAATTATTTAGTATATATCTAATCCATCATGGAAGTGCATAATAGAGTCAACTCAAAGCTGAGCTAAGCATTAAATGAATTAACAGTGTAGCTATACATGATTAATCTAATTATCTTTTCTATAAAACAATTAGAGAGTCCTAAAAATCCATACTAGATTTGATGATGGCCATATTATTATCAATGTGGTCTTGTGCCAAGTGTGACAACAGCTTTGTAGATACTAGGTTAAATTCAATATTACTAGTTTTGAAGTAAAAATCAATATTATATCATTAATGCAGGTCTATGGAGGCTAGTAAGTAGTAACATTTGAATAACATAGATGGTTATATTACAGAGATATATTAAGGATTTGTTTGGTTCCTCACATTCTCAAGAATTTAAAAAACAAAAAAAAATTATTTTCAAAAAATTATAAAAGATATAAAACATGACTTCTTTTAAGTGAATTTTCATCTTAGAAAACTGGACTACACACGCCGGCCTAATGTTCTCGGAATAATTGCATGTTTCAAATTATAGAAATTGATTAAGATGAAAGAGAAATAGTAAAATCTATTAATTAAGTACAAATAATGATACCCAATTGCTTTTTATCAATTAAAAGAAGATGATCTACATACCAATATCAGTACTGTCCATGGATTTTTTTTTTTTGGGTACATCAAACCAATAACAGTCAATTTTTACTCTATGTGAACGTAACCCTAATTATTTAGCAAATCATGTACAATTTGTTTGTTCTAACTTATGTGTTTATATATTTTTGTGTTAATTTTCACAACAGACTCAATATTATCTGTTGTTAAAATTTAAAATAATAATAATAATAAATCAGAGAACAATTTGGGTTATTCATAACCAAAATAGAAAAAACAAAGAAAAAATGAGAACTTGTTGACTTCATTTTTTAAAAAATAATCCTAAAAAACTTAGGAAAAAAAAAACTATTTTAAAAAGTCATAAAAGACAGTATTATGAGAATAATTGATTTAATTAATTAATTGAATTAGCACAAGTCTTCCTCTTTCAATTCAATTGTGAATAAATCCTGAGCGCTGGTGCTGTGGGCTGTCCCTGTCAGCGCTACACACGCGTCTTATTCTGACTCCTAGCTCCAACACTCTGTATTATGCGGTCAAACCTTGCCTAGCTAGCTAACAACAAAACTATAATCTGTATGGTAGCATATACCTATCATATATATATGTGTGTATGTATGTATGTTATATTATGATCGATGATGATAGTGGTAATTAATTGGAGGAGGAAGAGAATTGGATTTGCGATCCAGGTCATTGATTTGGTCTTGGGGCCCCTCAAAAAAAAGTTCAACTATCCAAAACTTTCAAGTCAATTATCAAATTTCTCTATGTGTTAAAATTTAATAATTAGAAGAAATACTATAATTATTTTAGAAAAATTATAATATATAAAGAAATAAAAATTATGAAACCTTCTTATTAGTTGGGATTTTAGACAACCGCCTAACTCGTCTATAGCTCAAGCCATCCATGGGTAAAAGTTATTAATTAAGATGGGCTTTCATCTAAGCTGCTGTCTTTAGTGTTGAATTGAGTTGTGTAATTACAATGCATAACTGGATCTACTGTCATCGATGATAGAAATTGAGACCAATATCATAATGTAATAACTATAGAAATAACACATTTACGAAATGTTATTATAATCACCCTCACACAATATTATTCGTTTTTTACTCTTTCGGACTAGAGACTTTTCAGAGGATTACTCATTCTCAAGTTAAGCAGGCTTAACTCAGTAGTTTTGGTGGGTTCACGATTATCACAGCTTTAAAACGCGTTGTGTCATAAAAGTGTGTTGAATCTATGTATAGAACTTGTCCCATCCACACTCAGACAATGTAAGATTGTGCACTTATAGCTCGCCTAGTATAGTAGCCTACTAGTGTCACCTGTACACGCTCACACGCACCTACTTATAAGGTCGCTATAATTATTCTAAAAAATCCTATATAAATATCAATAGTGTTTAGAGTAAGATGTTAATGTTAAAGGTACTCGTCCCACATCTAATTTCAATAATATATATATATATCTATATATATGGACGAGTAGACAAATAACTGACCAGTTGTATACTTATAATTCTTTGTTTAAGTATTATTTAATATTATTTATTTATTTATTAGATTAAAATAACATTTCCAAGTAACATAATGTTTAAAATAGGGTTTTTGAGATCACACAATATTACAGTATCCATGTAACATAGCTTTTGAGAATGATTTTGGTGATGGGACTTATATTATGCAGACAATAGAGAGACAGGTCCGTGTATGGGTGTGTAAACAGTTTAAAGATACCTTGCAACTCGAGACATGTATGTCAGAACTTGAATTCTGTTGTTCACTAGAACCGGTTAGCTAGCAAGCTGATAATTAATAAGGATGGATAATAATTATGATTAATTAGTTGCTTTGCAACTTTAGTAGAGTATAACTTTATCAATTTTTTTATTTTTATTTTTAATCAGAGTAAATTATCAATGATATTTATAAATCAGGTTTCAAAATGTTTGTATAAATGTATAAGATTGTAGTGCACTTGGTACCTTTTATATTCCATATATAATTTGCATTGTGAGTCGAGATTGCTCCAATTTTATCTTTTTTAGATCAGGTTATTTTCAATTTCGAACTCCTTATTTAATTTGATTCCTAGGTCTTTTCAAGGATTATGCCACTAGGGTTTCGATTTATTTCATTAATTCAGTCAACTATATATAAAGAAGCCACGCCAAACCTAAGAGTAACCCATAGGACACAAGTAGCTAGCAAAGAGGGAACTACTCCTGGACATCAATCAGTAGTATATTACACACATATATCATTGATCTTTAGCTTATGGTTTATACACATATATACAAACACCAATATTAACGCTAGTTGGATCTATATATATACATGGAAAGAAGATATTGTTTTATAGTAATTTATCAAATGAAGTGTGAGAGTGTAAGAGTAACGTTAACTCAATCGAGGAGGAGAAGATGAAGAAGTTCAAAGAATAGACCCGAAGGATGCGGGGAAGAGACACGTGTTGTTCTTACAAAAGCATGTGGACCCCACCCTCCCTAGATTGACAGATAAAGATAAGAGTTTGCAGACGATAGTGTTTGCATGTGGGTTTTAGAAAATTGAAGTAACCCGTTCTCTCTCTCTCTGTCGTGTTATTACATGCCAGTCCAGTTTAATTTTGCCAGCTATCTCTTCTTTCTCATATGCTTTGGAGTTGATGGTATGAGAAATACTATTAAGAGAGTACGTATAAGTGTTATTAAATAATTTTTTTAATATTTTTAAAAATAAAGTAAATTATTTAATTATTTAATATATCTTTTATTTTCGTAAATAAATATATAATTTCACAAGTGAATTCTCTTAATAATATTCTCGTAAATAGGTATATAATGGCACAAGTAATATATTATTTAAATATTTAACAAAAAAAGCTAGGGATGCTAAACCCTTGATATATTAAACTCAGCTACTCCAATTCACATCGTAGTATAGACCATCTATGTACAAGAATGTAAGTTTTAACAAAATTATTTATATATACCGAATAGATTCTCTCAAAATTTAAATTTATTGTCTTACCACTCGAGTTTTTACCATTAATATGATATCCCAAATCAATATTAGCAATAGTAAACCAAAAAAAACACTAAAGTGAAGAAGATAAACCAAGTGATATTAGTATTGTGTGTGTGTGTGTGTGTATATATATATATATATGTATGTATATTATATAAAAGAAAGAGGACCCATCCACCGCCCAAAAGCAGCACACTGCAGTCTTACCTGATTCAAACCCATCACCGATCTATATTCTCAATCTAACCCTAACCCAACAGTAGTACTAACTCCTAGAAACCCGTCCTCACATCTTCATCCCTCCCCAACCCTTTAACAACAATCATCAAATGAAACCCAAAAAACCTTAGAAACAACAACCAGCATATGGGGAGTATATTCAGTTGATGATTTGGTGGCTGACACCCAAAAATCCACTCATTATCTTCTATCTACTCAACCCTATTTGTACTTTGATCCCATTAAACAAACCCCAAAAAAGGCAAACGAGAAAGAGAGACACCCTTAAAGTCTTCTTAACTTTCTTTTTCCTCCTACTTTCTTTCTTTTTGAATCATTACTCCCTTTACTTATAGCTTCCTTGTATCCAAATTTCCTTTCTTTTTTTCTTTTTTCTTTTTCTTTTTCTCATTTCACTTGAGTTGTTCTTTGTATGCGAAGATTGAAATTGTGGGGTTTGATCGAGCTAAGAAAAACAAGGTATAGCTAGCAATTCAAATCAAACAACAATGGATCAGATAACGCCTCCGGGGCATGGCAATTCTCTCCCACCTCCATTTCATACCAGACCTTTCAGCCTTCAACATCATCACCAGCACCAATTTCACCACCACCAACAGAATTCGGAAGACGAGCAGAGCGGCACGAGTGGACTAAACATGGGACAGAAGCGGGATCGAGACGAGAGTGACAACGACAACATCAACGGCAGTGAAGGCAAGGACAGCATGAACGGATCCGGAGGAGACGGAGATAACAACAGAAGGCCGCGAGGGAGACCTGCCGGATCCAAGAACAAGCCCAAGCCGCCCATCATCATCACTCGTGACAGCGCCAACGCGCTCCGCACCCACGTGATGGAGGTTGCAGACGGGTGTGACATCGTGGAGAGTGTCGCGACCTTCGCCCGGAGAAGACAGAGAGGGGTGTGCATTTTGAGTGGGACTGGTACTGTGACCAATGTCACACTCAGGCAACCGGCCTCACCCGGTGCAATTGTGACATTACATGGGCGGTTCGAGGTCTTATCTCTAGCCGGCTCATTTCTGCCGCCTCCAGCTCCGCCTGCAGCCACAGGGTTGACCATATATCTGGCGGGCGGACAAGGCCAAGTGGTGGGCGGGAGCGTTGTCGGGGCACTCCTAGCATCCGGGCCCGTGGTGATCATGGCGGCCTCGTTTAGCAATGCAGCGTATGAGCGGCTTCCGCTGGAAGAGGAAGAGAATTCACTCCCGATGCCCGGAGGTCAACTTGGATCTCCGGGAACTGTGGGACAGCAACAGCAGCAACAACAACAGCAACAACTCTTAGGAGAGCCATCGCTTTTTCACGGCGTGCCTCCAAATCTCCTCAACTCCATTCAAATGCCAGCGGAGGCCTATTGGGCGACCGGTCGTCCTCCATTCTAACAAGTCTCTCCTTGAAGGGTTATACTTCTTGATTCACTCTCTTTCATTTACCAAGAAATTTTAGCAACATTTTTAGGTATGTAGAAGAATTTGGGTTGTTGAGCCAGAATTTCATTCCTCTTTCTTTTCTTTTTTTCTTCTTCAGTTTTACTTTTTGTTTAATTAAGTTTGATCATTAGATGATATGCCTGCCTTTTTAATTGAAGAAGTTTGTAAATTCTTAGTTTTCACAGTGAGTTGGAAGTATGATGCATGAGAATAAGAGTAGCAATCTGTTCTATAATTGATAAATAAGATCATTATCAAGAGCCAAAGCCACTTCCCCAACCCCAAAAATGATGTCTAGTTTGACCTCTTTTGTGTCTTTTACACATTCATCATGTTCTCTACAAAACCCAATCATTATATCATTTCAGCTCTCTATAGTTTTTAGCAACAAATTTATAATCAAGATAACATAAGACTATCTATGATCATCATATTTGTGAATAGTAGAAGAAAATATACCCCCCCCCCTCTCTCTCTCTCATCTCTCTCTCTCTCTCTCTCACACACACACACACCATTTCAACTCTTTTGTTTCTTCTAACTCATATATTAACATCGTGCTGCATTCATTACTTTCCTTGAGATCTCATTGTCATTGTTTACTAGTTGATTGTATGTAGCAAAGTTTGCTAAAGCTAACTTCTTTTCAAATTATACTTGCATTATCTGAGTCTCCCTTGAGCCATTGATGAAATTCAAGCTAGTCCATATCATATTTTGATAATTGACTTTATCTTAAAAACTACAATAAAATAAAATAAAATAAAAAGATTATAAAACAAATTTTTTTTAAATGAACCCTTAATCTTAAGCTTTAAACCAAAAATTTGACGTTTAATTTGTGTCTTGTTTTTTTAATTTTTTAAAAGATTCGGTTTTGGCAAGTGTATTATTTATTTTGTTTGTTCAAACTAATGTTCTAACTTGAATCATTCATTTTCTGATTTTGAAGCATGATATTCGAATTTTTTGCCTAATAGAATTCAGTCATGTTAACAACTAAAATTGAGATGAACTCGATTGACTCTCTCTACAGATGGATTAGTTATGTGATTCTTTGAAAACTTAATAAGTAAAAGAAAAACGAAAAAAAAAAAAAAAAAAAAAGTTATCACAGTTGAGTCTTAGTTTGCTTAGTGAAAGTATAACTGACTTGGGTTGAAGAAGAATTGAAAATGTAATAAATATGAATTTTGCTGCTTATATTGGTATGCATTACCAAAAATAATTGAGTCACTTCAATAAAAACAACTACTACTACACTAAAAGCCTCCAAAAATTCCATTACAAGTAGCAAAAATGAGAGAGAGAAATTCAATTCCCTTGTCTTGAAAAGAGTAGTAAGGAACATGAGAATGTGGAGCAATAAATGTTCCTTTAAGGGTTTGCCCTAAGTACACCCTTTACCGGCCAAAAGCCTTAATGACGAGAGGAACACATTATATCATAATAATGACTTTATAATAATGAAAGTTCTATATATATATATATATATATATATATATAGAGTAGAATTATCACTATGTTTCTTTGTTGTGTTACTTAGCTGTCCCTCAAAGCTATTGATGAGATTCAACGGACGTGGGTGGTAAACTATTTAGGATGAAAGAAAGCAGGTGCATGTGTCTTAGTGTGTGTGTGTGTGTGTGAGAGAGAGAGAGAGAGAGGTATGGGCTTTGGAGTTTCCATATTTTGTGTTTATGAATTTGAGAGTATTTGGGTACTGGTTTACACGTGCACTGGTCTGAAGAAGCTCCTTTTCGAGGCAAAGTAGCAGTTACATTCATTCAACAGCTGATGAAGCAAAGACAAAGTGGTCTAACTTGAGCGTTATATAGTCTCTCTCTCTCTCTCTTCCCCTCTTTCTCTCTCCTCCGGATTCTAGGAAATGGGTATTGGGCAACTTTTCAAAGTTGCAGCTGATGAGATTCTTTGTGCATGCTTCAACTCAAAGTCTCAAACTCACCCTCATGCACTCATATGCTCTTTGCTTCCTTTTTTTGTAACACCTCATGTAGGCTGTATCTAAGACCTCTCATTAATCTTATCCATTTCTGCGACCTTTCTCTTCTACCAAAACGACTTTTTTTTTTAACCTCTCTTTACTGGTTGAATATATGATTTTATCTCGACTCCGATTGTTTGACAACTCAATATATAGGAACTGATATTAATATATATATATATATATATATATATATATATATATATATATATATAACACAGTAAATCAGATTAGTGGGTTGTATCATTTTGGTTACAATTCTCTCTCTCGGACGCACACATTGTCGGCTATGTTCATCTTCCTCTTCATTAATTCTATATAGTGTTGTTTTTTTCTTGTAGGACTATAAGCAGATTATTGACTTTTGATCCAGTCTGTGACCCATTTCTATGTTTTTTTTTTTTTTTTTTTGCGCTTTAGTTGGGAAATTTTTAATTATTTATTTTATCTGGGACCTCGTGGGACTCAATATTCAAGCTCCAAATTTGCCTTCCCATCTACCCCTTTTTTTAATGACTAGCTGTGGCCTCATCTTACAAGTTTGTACACTTTCAGTTTGAGATTGCAAGTTTCATGCGGTTAAGGTATCCATCAAGACTATACATATATAGATATATATATAGAGAGGGAAAGGCTGTTCATATATACTCTGGTAGAGATGTATAATTGTATTTTGGTCCACCATGCTTGTATTTAATATGTTTAATGTCCTAGTAGCTTTGTCCGATTTGGTGCATGGTAGGTACCAGCTGTTTTGGAAAGCAGATAACTAGCCTCCCCAATTTTATCATCATTATATTTAAGCACAAGCTAATTATTATTATTATTATTATTTTAAGGGTCTTAAAACACTAGCATTTTGATGTTTGACATTGCTGGGTTGTCGGTTGATAATGACCTCTTTGAAAAGAATACTTCAAAAAATGTGAAAAAAAAAAAAAAAATTGGTTTCGGTTACACTGATGGGATGGAAAGGGTTTAAGAGAAAGAATATGACGAGAACAATATATTTCAACCATTCAAAAAGAAGAGGGATTCAAATCCGGATGAGAGAACTGAAATGTGTGTTTGCTTCACTATTCAAATATATACATACACACAGCCCTTCTTGGATCATACCATAAATCATTAGAATGTGTGTGTGTGAAGTGTTTCGATAGCTGTGAAAATAGAATTTGTCACTCTTGTATTTGCTTTTTAGCAACTAGTTGAGTTCTTTTTGTTGCAATATATATATGTTCACAGCTTTTCTTTTGTTCTAATCCCTCTTTCTCTTCTATTTTCATTGCCAATTCTCTTGCTTTTATGTTACTCAAATAGAAAAGTCGTCACTTATGAGAGAGAATCTAAAAATCCGTCATTTTCTTTAAAGGGAGACACTATATACAATTTTTAGGTTTCGTTTGGCTAACTATCATAGTGCTCAAACATACGACTCCAATCCCAGTTCCTGGGCTGTTCCTAAATGGCACCATCACACCACCATATATAACACAATTACACCATTAATCTTTGTAAACGACCTTAAATCCACTTGAGACATAGTCTGAGTTTTATCCAATCTGTATGAAAACACCTTGCACGGGTCCCATAAATTAGTCAGGATAAAGACTCAACACCCCGATTATCGAAAAAAGAGAGCTTTGAATTAGTTTTTAGTGGCGGAGCAACCAAATAAATGTGTATTCATTTGCATTTTGATTCTCCAGTATCATTTCTTGGTAACATTTTAATATCCAAAGAGAATAAACATACATAATGTAGTAATGCACAGGAACCAGAGGTTTCTATTCAATCCCATCTTCACATAAAAGCTTCTGTAACATGATCACGAGTAGAAGTAAAATTTATGGAGACCAAGTTGATGCCAACAACATGATTCACTATATAAATTATTCTACAAGATCCAATTTCTTCCTCTGCTTCATTTCATATACAAATCAATTTATACAACAATTAAAACCTAGACAATGGATGCTCTGGCTCAGGAAACCTAAAGAAAATATAACGAATAGCATTCTGACCGAGAAAATGATTAACAAATAATGGATTTCTTCTCGGATACAACAAATAAGGCTACAAAATCAAGCCCACCCACTGTTAATAAAAACTTAAATAAGATCGCATGAACCGTCACTCTAGTGCAAACCACCAACTTCAGTTGACAATCTTAACTTAATATTATACCCCACATCTTTCTTCCATTGCCATTAATCCACACATCATCCATAATCTATCCTTAGCCGCTTCAGTTCACCCTGGAATGCAGGGCTTGAAGTTAGCGTTCGGCGTGCAAGAGTCCTTATGTCCTCTCGTGAACAATCCCGCGAGATACGAACAAGCTCCCACAAGGCACCTCCACTAATCATGTCCTTGGCATTCACTTCTGGAATGTAGTAAATTCAAGCCTTTTCAGGCAACTTAAATGAAGATTCAAATTTTAAGGCGAGAAAGAATAGCAAACTTACCATGTTGCGCTAAATGGCATAGTGCAAGCTCAATGTGGCGCCTGATTGGCGAGGCATCATTATTAGCATTTTGTACAATCCAAGGCAGTGCACCATCTTCAATCAGAAGAGACTTGCCAGCCTTGGTCCCTATAGGAATTGAACCATCAGAAGTACTATACATCAACTTGTAACAGAAGTAGAGAGAATAAATATTTGTTATAATTTTACTACATCCCAATCCAAAGTGTCACAAAATTCATCATGCAGTTTAACTCAGATGGACGTAAATATTGGGTTATATGCTTTGCAAAATAAGGTATTATTATAGGCTTTTGTCGTAATATGCAGGAAGTTGGTCAACAAGACACGAACTTTTCGGCAAGTTAAAGTCATGTTTTAAAACTGAAGATTAACAGCCTGTATCATATCATATAACCGACATAGCAATAACTTGATTGGAGCTAAAGACCATGAAATAACATCAGAAGAGTTTCCTTTATTATCCATCTACCTTGAGCAGAAGCCCTGGATTCGCATTTTGCAAAGTTTGCAATTCCACGAGCAACTTGAGCCAAAACATCCGGATGCCTGCATCTAACCATTCCTAGTAAAGCCTTGATACCACCTTCACCTCTCAGCTTCATCTGTAACTTGTCTGGAAATTGCAACGTAATAGCTATTAGTAACAGTAAGATACATGTCAGAAGAGGAGTTGCAACCAAAACCAATGCAACAACCCAGATAATATGGTTCAACTACCAGTTCCCGGCCACTTCCCATAGGAAGAACTTTTAGTTTTGAACCTCACACCTCAGCATATATCCTGCCATGGGATATATGCTGAGGTGTGACAAGACGAGGAACCCAGTCCAGATGAAACTAGAACGGTCTAAGGGACCTACTTAAGACATGTTCGAAGCACTTCCACAGTCAGGACCTCTAATACAACATCAGATCAGAAACATTTGATAAACATTAATCAATTGACAATCATTGTTTTCAGGTAAACCTGATCCTCTATCACAACCAAATGAAGGAACTTGTGTTTTGATTAGGAGGGAACTACTTCTATAATCTACATTAAGCTGACAAGAAAGAAACGCCCAAGATTTTTGTACAAGGTTGCAGATTTACAATTATGCAATAGAAAGGGAACAAAAAAAAAAGGTGACCAATAAACGATAATTTTATATCAACAAAACATTGTCCCAACTAATTGGCTGGCTATGTCATCGACCATTTCAAATTGGTGAGGGAATAGGATATATATCACCATCTTTAGAAGGGTCTTATGCACTTCAACTTAACCAAAATTTTACTGTCACCTCAAGTGAACCACCTTCTTACAAGGTTTGGTCACACGAGGAACTGTCAAATCCACCAGAATGAACGCTATAAAAAGTAAGGGAGATTACCATTGCCACAAAGATTAGCTATGGCTCCAGCAATCATGCGAAGAGTTTGAGGGTCCTCAGCATTGGCTGCAGTTATCGACAACAAAGTAATGCCTCCTTGTGACATTATAAGCTCCTGGTTGGTTTCTGCTAAGAGAAATATAAATGTTACAACATGATAGGAAGATAAACACTAAAGCCAAATAACACCGTGCCAAATAGAGCACTAAATTATCTTTAAGATTTTAATAAATCATAATAAATTATAAAAAATATAGGGAATTTACCATTCATCGCAAGATTCGCAATTGCACCTGCTGCAACTCTGTGTATGGTCTCATCCTCAAATCTCCTAAGAAGCATCAACAAGGATGTGAGACCACCGGCTTCTACAATCCTTTCCTGATTTGCTTCTGCAAATTAGATGTAAAACATCATTCCTGAGCAACAAGTATAGCAACTAGTAATGGCTGTCAATATGTTTTATCCCATATGCTACTCTGCAACAAGACCTCAAATGCCATGCCAAAAATCATCATTAACATTATCATCATCACATCAAAATATTAATAACAACAATAGCCAACGACTCACTAATTAAAATTTCATAATATAATTTTCTTTTTATTGTGGCAAGAAACTCACACAATCACATTGCCCCTATTGGGAATCGAACCCTCGGCGGCCTTCTTTGGAAAGTGAGGAAGTACCACTAGGTTACAACCCTTGGTCATAATATAAATAGAAATATCATATTTATAACTATCCTGAACAAAAAGGCTCAGTGGAACGTGATGTAGGTCTGAAAAACTAGATCCTTTAAAAGTAAAGACAGTTTGGTGCCCATTGTTAAGCTAGTCAATTTATAGTTGAATACAAATTAGTATTCAAGTGGGAGATAATTCAGGGGGAAAAAAAAAGGGATTCAAGTGGAGAAAATTCCCCACTGGTTATATATTTTGATAAGTATGTGGGAGAGAGCAGAGAAGTTGCTGATAGTAAAGTGCAGGGTCTAATGCTCCATCTGAGACTATTTCATGTAGTTGGCTATTGGAATAAGTATTTGACACTTGATCAGCTAATATGCAGGAAAAGAATGACCCAGGTGGGTTAATATGCACAGAGTATTTACTGGTTGACCATTTTCATCCGAGACTGGAAAGCTTTAGAGTTCCATGTAATATGCATAGAGTTAATTCAGTATTCTCTAAACGTTCAACAACCATCTCAAAGTTGTTGTCTTTCAATTACCGGCTAGGCAAAACAATCTGCGCAAACGCAATTAGCAATGGACTTTTCAAAAGAATCCCACCAGAATTTTGCACTTAACCGCTCCACAGTTAATCAGCAACAATGGGGCAAAAAATAAAAAGAGAGAAATCCAAATCTACTAGTTAATACATCCATCTTCTTCTTTTTTTTCCTTAGTTGGTACTCACACACGCATGCCTCCAGTCTCCACTGAGGCGCGAACCCTTGACCTCCCTTTGGGAAGTAGGGGCCTGATACTGCTAGGCCACTAGCGTGTTGGTGTTAATACATCCATCTTCACCAATATTGCTTTTAATTTTTTTTATAATAATAAATCATTACTACCTCTTTTAGTCCTCCAACTCGTATTTATCCTAGTTTGCCACCATTCATAACACCGTCAACCAACATTGCCTTAACAAACAATAATTATCAAATAAAAATAATGGTAACAGACCAGGCACCCTGATTTGCCCATGAGCGCAATTGATACCCCTGCAACTAATGTCTCTCTCAAAACAATGCCTACAAATAAAGTAGGTTACTAGGAATCTCAAAAACAAAGATAATAATTATTGGTCATTCACTATGTTCCTACCTAGGAACGTGTTAAGCAATCTAGAATAAGTTTAAGAACCACAGATTGTATAGAGATGGAAAACAAGATAAATATAAAAGAGCATATCATGAAGCACTAAATTACCTTCAGCTGCAAGATTTGCAACAACTTTAACAGCATGAATGCGGACATCAGCATCTTCTGCTTCAAGCAATGACAAAATCTTTTGCAATCCCACTGTTGGAAAACTGGATTATATTAGGAAGAAGAAGAAAACAACATACAGATGGATAATGGATAATGAACATCAGTCTGACAGTAAAAAAATTAGTAGGGGCATCACCACCTTGTTCAAAGAGTTTGGCTATCGAGGCCTTCTCTCCATCTGCTGAATCTTTGATCTGTGGATGGCTAACTTGATGCATGAGAGAATCTAGAGCACTGGGGACTGTCAATGTCCCACCTACATCAAGTCTTTTTCTTGTCTACAAAGATAAATAAAATAGGATTAAAATTCAAATATGCTTGGACAGGCGAATACTCATGCATTGCACCTGCATTGCATGTTTTTAGGCATGGGAATTGCTAGAAAACAGTCCTTTAGGGTGACTTCATTCAAGAAGTTAAATGCTCGAGACTTACCAACTTTCATCCAATATTATAAATCCTAAAATTGAGAAAATTGTTTCCATATGAGCATGGAACTTCAAATAAAATTCCCATCAAAGTCAACTTACGCAGTTTGATAAAAAAGAATGGGATTATGCAGTTTGATTTTCACCATCAAATGATTCTCTGGTCAGCTACTTCTACCCTTTTTGGTCATGAATGAGGCTTTCAAAAGACTTTTAATCAAGTAACAGAAACTTGTTGGGATGTCATTTCTCTCCAGAAGTTCCTTTTAATTCCTATGATTATTTCCTTAAGTCCAACCCTCATTTTACAGATACTGGTTGTCCAATTATCTCCAAAATATATGTAAATAATGACATAAAACCATCCGCATTCCAGTCAATGATCCCATACCAAAAGACAGTAATTTATACTTTTTGAAATCGTAACTAGGTTTTGACAAAATGTACAATTTGTCGAATGGCTAGAATATGTCCAAGCACTGAAGAACATTTCCAGCCAAAACTAATTACATTTAATTGATAAAAATATCTTAAAAGTTAATTTTCCAAAAATAAAAATTGCAGTTGGACAATGGGAATAAAATTCTCATATATGAGCAATTCCTAGATTGCCCAGATTCCAAAATAATGGAAAATGCCTAGTGACATTCACTATTTTACACAAGTATACTATCAAATAGTTGGAAGAAGATTGAAAATCAGACCACATTCCTGCACAACAGCATATAAAACTTTCTGTAAGAAACCATCTTGGTGGGACTTGCAACCTCCCACCATGGGCTGCCCGTGAACATGCATTTCTTTGTCTTATCTCTAGAGAGAATGTCAAATTGTTAAACTATCCTTGCTTTTATGATTCATTTACAATTGTGGGTCAAAAGGCACAGACAGTGGAAGTTAATGTATACAGTATTCTCTGATTCAAATGGAAATATAAGTGGTAAATCATTCTGTTAGAGAGTCACAATGAATGCATTTATCAACTATGTAGACAGCATACCTCGTCAGCTTCAAAACTCATTTGCAATAGCTGACTTTTTAGAATTGCTATTTCTTCTTCAAGTTTCTGTTTCTGGCGTTCCTCATCTTCCAGCAACTTGCGAAGCTTTACGATCTCAGAATTTCCTGCTGCCTAGTACACGGAAAAAAAATAAAATAAAATAAAAAAAAATAATATTGATAAACAGTGATGCAGCCCAGTTCACAAATGATGCAACAAAGAAAACAAATGACAATGAAATCAAACAAATTATTTGAGACATAAAGAAGCATACCTCCGACCTTTTCCATTGTGCTACTTGATTTTTAAGATTATTGATTTCCTCTTCCGCAGCCTTCTTTAAAAGAGTTTCATTCTGAAGCAACATTTTAATCGCATCAACTTCCTCCACAAAAGACACTGCAGGGACCTGCATATCACAAAAGAATGATGATGTCTCATTGCTGAAGAGAATGTCCTACAAGTCAGGCAACAGTGCAAATATTTAAACTACATGAGCATGGCCCTGGTGATAACCTCAACAAGTAGAAAGTAAGCACATGACCATCGTATGCCATGTGAAGGTGGAAATTCAGATATTTTTACATCAATAAGAACTGCAACTACATTGCAAAGTATTAATAATGTCACAACCTGATGCTAAGAGAGAATAGAAATAACTCCAGTGATTCTTAGATAATTCAGTTTTTCCAAGAGAAATTTGGGAAAAATTTTCAAAGGCAAGACTAGTTAATAAAATTGGTTTATAAGTCATAGCAGCCAGAAAATTTTAGAGCTAGAATAATTTGGGTACTTCAGAAATCATACTATAAATAAATTTTGTTTTAAAAACTGTTGACAAAAGATGGCCAAAAACAAAACAATTCTAAAAATATCAATAGGGACCAAATAATATTTTTTTCATAGAATCACAAAGAAAGTGAAATATGTTCTTATTTGAGTACTGTATCATCAGAAATTGAGAGTCTCTGCATCTTCTTGTTATTTTAACAGAGATGATACAACATACAGCAACAAGTCCACCCATATGGCTTTATTTATCTATAAGGTTCCAAAATTTTGGGTTTCCCCGTATGTCATTAATCATAATACTTGTTATTACAATATTACTCATATAAGCAGCATGACAAAACATCACGAATGCATGCAAGTATTTTTTTCCCCTTGTGGGGCTTGAACCGCTCATCTCCCCTTTAGGAGGGGAGCTAATACCACCTGGGACAAGTAGCCCGATGGTAACAAATTACCAGTCTCTTTCTTCCTTCCTTACTTTTTTTCACTTTTTTTTTTCTTTTAATTATTATTATTATTTATTGAAGATTTTCCTCCACTGATTCAGTGGAGGAAAATCTTCTTTATTTATTTATTTATTTATTTATTTTTCATAGTTGGTACTCGCACACACACATGTCTCTACATGAGACTTGAACCTCTGACCTCCCTTTGGGAGGTAAGAGGCTGATACCGCTATGCCACTGGCCGTTGGTAAAATCTTCAATATTATTATTATTATTATTATTATTATTATTTTCACCCTTTTAAGATCAACAATGAAAGCATCCGAGCTGGGAAGAAATTTAAGATGACTGAATGTGTTCAACCATATGGGCAGAGGAATCATCAAGAGATAATTTAATTAATTCTCATAGATGGATCAGCAATTAGATCAATGATCAGCTTAATGTTTGACAACAGTTCCAGAGTTGCTGAAGTCAAAGGAAATGTGACAGGTGACTTTGTTATTCTGAGCCAATCAAAAGGCTATCAGAAGTTCTACATGAGGTAAAAGGCCATTCAAATACATTCTTTTAGACAAAGTTACTAAAGATCAACAATGCCACATGTACAAGGAGTACAACTATGAGAGAAGAAATCAGGTTCGATATGGCATAAGATTGAAGCAATCTCCACTTAGGACCTTGACTGGCCTTTATAGTTTTTTGGAAATTTTATGTTGTTTTGATCCTTCAGTCTTCTCTAATTTTTAAGGAAGTTTTGCCAAATTTAGAATGTAAAATTTAATTGTGTAACGAAGGTCATGAGGATATATTTGTAATTTGGGTGAAAGTAGAGATATTCTGGTCCAATCATATTGTCTAGCTTAGTTTAGTCTTTAGCTCAAAGTTTTGGTCTATTAAAATCCTATAGATTAGGTCTGTTTAGTTGGGATCATATAACTTGACCTACAAATGTTGGTTCATAGACTATAAGATAAGAATTTGTAAAGCTGCAGAGTCATTAAAACAAGAAAACTGATTACTAAATATTCAAAAAAAGTTATGCAGTCCACTGCTCAGACACTTGAGGCCTCCAAACCTTAGAAGTCATAGAATGTAAATTTAATAGAGAACACTTGAGGCCTCCAAACCTCCAGAAACTTTGATGTCATATGAGGTGGTTCTTAGTTTTCAAAAAAATTAGAAAAACGGAGAAATGCATTAGAAGCAAAAGGCTTACAAATTAGTAAAACTCAAACAGAAGTCATAGAATGTAAATAAAATAATAATATAAATATAACAATTCAAGACCAAAGGATCACTCAAAATAACCATTTCCAATATTTATGATCAATAGTATAGAAGGATGGGGGGAGAGAAACAATGTAGTTAGTAGGATTGAAGCAGGTTGGACAAAATGGAGACTTGCTAGTAGCGTCCTATGTGATAAGAGAATATCAAATAGGTTAAAAGGAAAATTTTATAGGACGGTTATTAATCCATCGATCAGAATGTTGAATTTAAAAAAAGAAACAAGAACAATACATTCATGTAACTTGAATGAATGCTGAAATTGATGATAGGAGTGACTAGAAGATATACGGTGACTAATCAATGAGGAGTGCAACCAATTAGTAATAAAATAACACACTTTAGGTGGTTTTGACATATATACCATAGACCCGTAGACACATCGGTAAGAAAATGAAGATTTATTTGCATAAAAGGTAAGAGAAAAAGAGGCCAACAACCTTTCAAAAAAAAAAAAAAAAGAGGCCAACTAAAGGCAACATGGAACTTTAAAAAATTAAATATAATAGGAGGTTTGCGAAAAGAATAGAACATGTAAATTTATGTGGCCTACTCTATTCCTATGGAATAAAGGCAAGGATGATCATGATTTCTAAGAGATGTTTTTCTACATGTAAAAGTTTAAATTTGAAGAATTGAACCCTTTCAGGCCCTATAAACTCTTTAACCCCGGCTTCCAAAGACCAAAATCAAATCTCACAGACCCACGACCCTGTTGACCAAGAGGTGTGGGGAAAGCTCTAATCCCATATTAATAAACTATGATTGGTTTCTGTAGCTTAAATTCAATGCATTCTTCTTAATTTTATAGTTAGTTATCTAAAAAATTCAACGTTCCAGTTTTCACAATATAGAAGGAAAAATTTATAAAATGCTACCCTATCAGCCTGGGTATAAACTTCTGTACAGATTTAAAGCAAATCCAGCTATCAAATTCATTAAAGTTATAACCAAAACTGCTTTTAATATTTCCTCTTTTCTTTTCAAAATCTTCAAGAATACAGAAAAAGTTAAATTAAACTAGAGAGGGCAGTGTGGATGACACTAATTAATAAAAAGAGTCTACATATGACTATTTATGCAATGAAGTGAGGAACCAGACAATGAACATCTAAACCACATTTAATACCTACATTACCAATTAGGATATATGAAATATACATTTCATGTACCAGGTACCTCTCTGCTAGACATTTTGTCAACGCTATCATCTTTGAGTTTAATTGTGGTTCTCTCACTAACTTGCTTTTGTTGGTCCTTTACCCATTGCTCCTCGAGCTTCTTCAATGACTCTGTGTAGTCTTTCTGATATTTTAGTTTTTCCTTCTGCAGAAGGAATAAGATAGATTATAAAGAGCATTCAAAAAGCAAGTACGCAGCACACTAAATCAAGCATGATAAATATGATCCGCTAAATCAAATTTGTGTTGATTAAACTGAGAGAAAAGGCATGTAAACATAAATAACATATATATGCATATATAATATACTTTTCACCAATTGTGAGTCAATTAAAAGTCAAAATCACCGACTTTACATGAATGTGTAGATAAGACATTTGAATATAAAGAAATAAAGACATTAACTTTCCATTAGAAATCTACTTCATAGAAAAACTAAAATGCTAACAAAAACTATGTAAGTTCAATGCCCGTGATATAGCTGAATAAATATAGATGCATGAATTTACCTCCAATGCATCACCATAGCTTCTTTCAGCCTCGGTAATACGTTTCTGTGCTTCTGTAGCTATTCTTTCAATCTCATCCTGAAATGCTTTCTGCTGCCTTTCATGTTCAGCAATAAGTTTGTCTAATTGTATGTCAAGCCTTCGGGACAAACTTTTGTAATCAAACTCTTCCTTTATTTTCAACATATTTTCCACCTTCATAGCCTAAACAAGGAAAAGTTTTAGCATCCTCCCAATGATCAAAGGGATTCTTATAATATGTTTCAGAAAAGTCCCCCAGAAAATTATACACCAACACTGTAACTGCATGGTTTACAACAAGCATGTCAAGAGGGATGCACTATAAGGCTGCAAATAATGACGTCAATAGAAAGAGAGAAAAAAATGTTGAAAAGAAAAATCTAACTACTAGATGAGTCCAGACAAGCAACTTCAGAATATAGACACACACACACACACACACACACACAGAAACAAGGCAAATGGTTCGGAAGTTACCCTTTGTCCAAACATTATGGTACTTGCTGTCTCTCCTCGATGGCGTGGAGATGGACCAATAGTAACTACAAGTGAAGTCCTCGCGGTGCCTGAAAGACTTGAAACTTGTCAGGCAATATATTACTGGATTTAAAAAGGTGATTTATATTAGTATAATGAAGCTAAGAAACCATCCAATATACGTGGCTCTTCTGCCAACTGAAACAATAAAATCTGTAATTCACAATCCTGACTCCCGAGTCTGAATCAAATACATAACAAGGTCCTTAAAGTTAAAGCGCAGTGATCAAAAGATCTAGGAATGTATCAGTGGTCCAGGAGCCACCAATTCATAGAACTCAGCTAAGAGATACTACTTCGGAAAATTAGCATACTAATATGACAAAAATCCCCAAACTGCAGTAATCGGAAAATTTAGTTACGTGTCACTGTATCAGTGGTCCAGGAGTAACTAATTTATAGAACTTGGATAATAGATTCCATTCTCAGAAGATTGGCATGCAAATATGACTTAGGACACTAGACTGGACTTTCTTCCAACATTTTAAATGATCTTTTACTTTCAAAAGAATGTACAATCTAAAGGCCTGGTTATCCAATCATGGAGCTCTTTTTTCATTCAGAATGTGACCCACTCACTGTTGGGTCCTGGGTCTGCCGCTCCCCAGCCTCATTCTCTCAGATGATAATCTTGAGGAGACCCAAGAACTCAGATTTGAAGACTTCCTCGTATATATTTAGATGTTTAGATATGTATATATTCAAAGCCATCATGTCATATATAATTTGATCAAATACAGCGATGCCAAACAAGTGGAAAAATTTAAATACCATAAGCATGAGCATCTCACCTCATTCACATGATAATTTTAAGAAGACTCTAAGAACTCAGATTTGAAGGCTTCCTCATATATATTAGATATGTATACATTCAAAGCCATCATGTCATATTTACTTTGATCCCATATAGCCGATGCCAAACAATTGAAATTTTAATTACCATAAGCATGAGCATCTCACCTCCAAATGAATCTCGAAGCAATCTTGTAAGCTTTGAGTCACGGACTGGAACATGTGGACTATTCTCTGCCAGTGCATTTATACATTTCCCTAGTGCACTTAAAGAAAGATTGATAGATTTAGCTTCCTCTAAAGTATGTCCTTCACTTCCTGCCAAACAATCAACAAAGAGAGAGAGAGAGAGAGAGAGAGAGAGTTTCAATAAATAGGAAATGGAAGAAGATTGAAAAGTGATGTGGCCAAAAAAATTATTAACTAGATTTTTCCCAAAAAAAAGAATGGTACTGATCCACATACTTTATATTATTTAACATCCATTTGTGTAAAAGAAGAAACAAATATAACAAAATAAACATTCCAGAGACATCTTATTTGGGAAGCATACAACAAAAGTAACTCAATCACTCACAAGTTGCCCGTACATGACATTCTTCAGGCAAAGATTTAAAGTCATATTGCATTCAAGCAAGAGTGTGTGATTGCTATTTATCATTAACACATGGCAAGCGCAAAGTTGTAGAACTCAAACAGAAGTCAGCAGTTTTTATTTTTCATTTTTCGGGCTGCAGATACAACAGTCAGCCATTGGCAACAAAACAGCAAACCCTTTTATATTATCTCATTTAAATTACTAGACCAGGAGAGTACACAGAAACATGCAACATGGAACTTCATACCATTCCCACAACTTCTGGTTGCAGTTAAAACTGAAATATTCATAACAACTGGAACAAGAAAAAGATTAGACTTGACAGGACAAGAGAATCTACAAATATTGCACTGCCTATAGCACACCTCGTGCTTTTTTTTTTTTTTTTTTTTTTTTTTTTTTTTCAATTTTACTTCAATAGACAAAATATTCTTGTTATCTATTTCCATGCATTTCCAAATATTTTTATATCTTTTCACTGGGTTCCAGAACATTTGTGTTTTTTAAGTCATTAGAACTCATCCTAGAATACAAAATTATACCATGGAAAGCAATAAATTATTTATCACTCGGATTCAAAATTAGATGTCTATATTTTTTCATTCATAATTGCTGTCACTTTTAGTTTCACTTCAGGAAAGAACAAATGCATCTTCACAGGTCAGTGGAAAACAAAAGAAGCAATACAAGACCATTCTCCAGCTTTAGGAAAAGGAAACGATTTATTCATGCACATAAGTGACACATACCTGACTTATCAATACGCTCTGAACCTGCAAGATCTACCACTACTAGTTTGCCTTTCCGAACTACAGGAGGCTTTAAAGTTTTAACCATGTGGGACGTGTTACCATTTTCGCTTGAAATAGCAGAATCTCTTCCCTTCACAGACCTCTTGACATTTACCTGCAATAAGAGCAGAACTTGTTTATGTCCACTTAAAGAACATGCAACTGTTCAAAAAAAATTCAGCAAGCTCCCAGCAATTTCAAGTGCGTGAACATCGGAAGACAAGAAGTGCAGTGCTTCACCATCAGAATGGCATGACTACGAGAAGATTCCGTGTTCAACTTGGTGTTAGCAGCAAAGCGGTGAGCTTCCCCTAATCTTAGTAGTTCCAAGAAACTCTTTTGGTCCCTGATTTCTACTAGGGTAGCTCCAGGTAGAGAAACATCTCCTGTTTTTGGATCTTCCGTGATGGATATGTTATCATTAGCAGGATCAAGAAGGTCCTGTATACTCTCCATGTACAGCTGCACATAGTTGTAAATGAAAAAAAAAATAACACAAATCACAAAGTTGGAAATAGCCTTTCACAGATAGCCAAAAATCCTTCACAAAGTCAAAAAAAATTGGTATGATTGAGAAATGAAAAACAATAAATGAAAAACTTTTCAGAAAATAACGTGAAATTCAGATCCATTTATATGGAAACAACCTGCAAATAGGAGACAGAGACAGAATTGGTCTCTGGAGAAATTTCTGCAAAAATATCCTCCAATGCGCGCACCATTATTCCGCGAGCAGCTGTGTCTTCTTCTCCCAGTCGCCCAAGTGTGTAAGTTTTTCCAGTGCCAGTCTGCCCATATGCCATGATTGTCCCATTGTAACCATCCAGAACACTCTGCATAATCATATAGTGTACAATTTAGGAGGAGTTTCATATATGATGAAGAACCCATAGGCTATACTGCCATATCATGAGTAGAAAATCACCCAAGCATTTTTTTATTTTTTATTTTTTAAAAAAAAAGAACTTCGGAATTTCTTCCTTTTGGATGAAATCACACCGAGGAATTCAGGCTTTCCAGATAAGATAAAGCTCTGGGAAGACATGCAATTGGTGCAAGATATTTTTATTATATATTATACTATTTATGATAGAATAGTAGCAATATTACAGGAAACGCTAAGAAAACAGAAACTACTTCAGAAAGAAAATATGAAATTCCATAAAACAATAGCATGTTTTGTAGTGAATCTCCTCCTTGTAACGTCAATAAATATTTGTTATTATAGTAGAACTAGAAACAAGACATTCTGCGACTTATTATGACACTGATGAGTAACTGGAATGTGTTTACAATTAGCGATAATTTGAACAACAATCAAGTTAAATAGAACCTCAAAAAATAAAACAATTCTAGATACATATAAATAGTATTAAATTTTTTCACGACTTTTTTACAAGAATGTAAATTTTTAAGTGGTCTCTAATCCCTACAAGATAGATAATAAGTTTAAAGGCTATCATCAGTTTCATTAACAAACAATAAATCACTTAGTCGCAAAAAATAACACATTCTCATTATTTAGCTGTCATCGAGCGCTGTTCGTCTCATTCTGCAATACAAAATTTACTCTCGGGTCGAAATCAGTTCTAGGTCAGCTTGTTGAGAGCGCTTCGTTATTGTACTTCATTAATAAAGCAACTTGTACAGTATCATTGACATTTAGCATATAATCATATTCCTAGAATAGTAAAACCAATATCATCAAATGTAAAATAACAGTTGTTATGCACAAGTCATATGTTAAAACACAAGTCATATGTTAAAACTCTCAACAAAAATCATACTTGTTGCTATAAAAATCTATGAGGAAACAAAAACAAATAGGAAAAAAAAAATCTACGAGGAAAATTCAAAAAATTCATGCATATGCACCTCAACCACAGGCTTTGCCACGACTTCATAAACACGTTTTTGTGAAGCAAATTCAGTAAGCACTTCATCGAACTCGTACGTATCTGAGTCCCAGTTGTTTCTTCGAAGTTTTAACCTTTTGAGCTGCCACAAAGCAAAGACACCACAAATTACAGTACCATGACAAATGACCAACCATCTAAGAAGTTGTTTGGTGTTGAAATCCCCTAACAGAATTATTAACATTAAAATGACGTCAGTACTACCTCAGGCTGCAATTCCACACAATCAGCAAAATCAGCATCTGCCACTGACTCTTCTGCATTTCGCGGCCGTAGTCTCACAGCAACTCGGACTCTCCCCAGAACTATATGGAAGCAAAGCAACATCAAGGGGGGAACAAATTTATCTATATTATTTTTATAGAAGTAAAGATTTTTAATATTTAAAAAAGTCCAAAATTCAGTATGAAGATATAAAGGTTTACTAGTAATCCCTTCCTTTTCGTTATAGAAGCTGTAAGAGAGTTCCCAATATTCACTTTTACTGTTCAATAGTCTCACTTTTCTTTAAAAGGAAAAAAAAATAAACATCTGTTAACATTTCTTCAACTCTACATGCTGCATCAGCACCAGGAGCAGCAGGGGGGTCCTTGTGTGAATGATAAAAACTACAGATTAGAAATTGCAAAGGCCCCCAGAATTACCAACCAAGTTTTCCGAAATTTGATTCTTCAAGTAAATATATTTTATATGTGGAACAGCTATTGAAAGCTATGACAAAACCTAGACAATGACAGTAGTAGTAGTAGTAATAAAAACAGTAGTGGTTATACTAGCACTACCATCTACTGCTAATGGCAGGACTTGCAGTAAAAAATGTAACTTTAACAATAATCACGATGATGTTAGAACAAGTCAATGTTACGTTTATAACTTAAAACTAACAACTAAAGAACCCAAGGCTCATATCCAAAACTTAAGGCAAACATTCATGACTTTGAGTACAGCATCCTACCCACATCTAAGAGGATTAAGGATGATCTTTTGTGGAAGATCGCCTTTCTTAACTCCACTATAGGTAATAATTCTTCTAGATTAGAGGCACAATAATTGGTAATAACAGAACTGAATTGAAAACCAGTAACATAATAACATTAGAAATTTGAATCAATATTTTGAGACATAAATGTGTTTATTAGAAGGCTTTTATTTGCACTAACTATTTGAGATACTGGAACAAAGTCCATTCATTTGAAATGTGTTATTACTTAGGTAGTAGGCATACTTGGTTGTTGAATTTATGAGAACCAAGTGTTTTTATTATTATTATTATTATTATTTTATTTATAAATAGAACCAAGTGTTTTTCCAAATTGAATATGTTAATCTGACTAATATGAAGTAAATATAGAAATGCAATTCACTAAGCCAGTAGACTAAATTCATCATCTAAAGCCATGTTTGGACCTTCCAAGGAAAGTAAATGTTTACTAAAAAACACAAACCTTGATTGAGGATAGGGTAATTGATGTTCTAGGATAAGTTTTAGGATTTCATAAAGCAATGAGAAAAATGATATCTTTCGCCGACCAATAGCAACATTGACTTTCATTTGCAATAATGATTGCCTCACCAACAATGGAACCCTCATTGCGAATTTCAAGTGGGATATCCACCAAGGATACCAAGGCTGGTGGTGGATCATTATAGGATCAAGAAGAAGGGGTGAACTTGAATGAAACGGTCACTATCAAGGTAGGGACATCACTAGTGAACCAATCTTGGGAGTAAAGCATGATGCATTCTTCCATACTGAAACTAATTCATCTAACACAATGATGCAATTGAATTTCAGGTTTCACCGTTCCAGTGGTCCAAGACAAACAGATAAACAAGACCCAATTCAAATAGGCTCAGCTCACTACTGTTCACTAGTGTTCACCTCAAAAAAGCGTATGCATTCATTAACAATGTAATTATACTTATATTATACTGTAATAAACAATCCAAATTTTCACATTCCTCAAATTACAACCAAATTTAGAAATCAATTTGCACTCCATCACCAATATAATATACACATACATATATATATATATACATGTGTGTGTATATATATATATAGATATATAGAGAGAGAGTGACCTTTAGAATCGTCCTTGGAAGCAGCGGTGGAGGCACCGCCTAGAGAACCGGTGCTGTTGCGGCGGGGACCGGAAGTGGCAGAGGAGGGCTTGGATTTGAAAGAAGACGAAGCAGACTTGGTCACAGTGCCCTTTTGAGTACCATTTCTATAACCACCACCAATGCTAGCCATCAGCACATCTCAAGTAGCTTCAGAAGCTCTTCTTCATCAACCAATATAAGTCTAGAGCTTTGAAGAAAAAGTTCAAATACTCTCTCTCTCTAAGAGTTGAAATTGAGAGAGAGATTGCAGAGGAGGAGCAAAGTGGGACTCAATCGTGTGAGGTGGGAGTCAGAGAAATTCGGGTTCTAGAGAGAATGTAGAGAGAGATTACAGAAGAGGCGTTGTGGGTCATGGGCGTTGTGGGTCATGGGCGTTGTTTGCGCTTTGATTTTATCTTTTGATTGAACGTACATAAATGCCCTTGGTGAGTTTTCAAAATTACCTCAAGACAAACCTAGTTTAACAGTGCGGCTACTTGAAATGACTGAATTACCCATCCTACCTTTGGCGTGATAAACCAACTTAATGCCCAGTTTAAGGGCGTTGAAAAGATTTAACGGTCTCATAAGTTTGAATTACCTCGTATGAAGCCATGGACTGCATAAGGTACATTCTTTTATATATATAATATAGGAGTATATGTTACCATGATACCGTCACAAGCAATTAAGTGGAATTTTTAAGTTCAATTAAGAAGTTGTTTTCATACTCCCTCTCAACCACATTTTGTGTTATTTAAATTTTGATGTTTTTGTGCTCGCATTCTACTTCTTGTATCTAACTATTAATCAAAGTGGAGTGCTTAATATTATATATATATATATATTATATTATTGTCTCGGTGATAAAGAGTGAGGTCTCAAATCTCTTCACCTTGTTCTTCTTGTTAAGTTCGAATTCTTTTTTTTTTTTTAATCCCACTAGCTCTCAACTCTATGTTATGTAAAATAAAAATAAAAATAGGTGATGTGATGTTCATATTTATTTTTATGGTGTTGTATTTTTTGTCATCTTTAATTTAATGAATATTGGTCTACTACTTATGAATTCCCGAGTTAGATGAAGGCATTAAGGCAGGCATTAATTTCCCACCAAATATGAAGTTAGACAGTACTATCAACTGTGATAACACACTAAATCTTTGTCAGTCCTTGAGTATTTAGTTACTTCTGTTAGTACATTTAATAACAAAAAGAAGAACAACCTTCTAGTTCTTGAGTAATGCAAAATATTTGTGAATTTTTTTGGAGATATGCAACAAAAAAATTTACTCGTAAGTTGAAATAATTGAAAGATTAATGCAATTATATATATATATATATATATATATATATATATATATCTTTTTAAAGAATTCGAATAATTTACTATTGATAGCAAGGACTAAGGGGAAAAGCCGACTCCACTGAATTTTTTACATACAAAATTACCTATAGAATTTGTTAAAATCTTAAAAATGTCCTCACTCAATCTTTTATAATAGACAACTACAATTTTGTAGGCCGGTGTCACATATTGATAGTAAAGTGCATAGAAAGGGGAATAAAAAGATTTAAGAATAAAAAAAATTGATAAGATGTAATCCAATAAACTTAATTTTAGCCCATGTGATGAAATTAAAAGTTGAGTTATAGCCATTACAACTTTTTGTTGTACATATGACTTGAATACAGTTTGATTTATCATTTTTCTTCTTCATATGTGTCCCAAGTTGACAACATAACAAAAAAAAACAAAGCAAAAAAGTTAGAATTCACATAAAAATCTTTCCATAATGGTCATTGTGTTTTAGAAAACCATGACTAGACAAGTGCTCACATGGATATATGCATGTGTCTGTATATATTATGCTAAGTGCTAACTGTACTTCAATGTTGGAGTGTTTTTTCTCTTTTCTTCTTTATACTTCGGGTTGGTGGTGTTAAATAAATCAAACTTTAGTGTAGTTTATGGGACACTTTAAAAATAATAATGTAACATGAAAAATCATTTAGCCGTGAGCAGACTCGCACGCCTTTCACTCACATTAAAGCAGTCAGAGTTAACAAATTGTATTAATTATTTATGTAATTATTTATTATAGCTGCATAACCAACAAGGAATACTTGGGCAGAAACATAAGGCAACCTTGAGAGGGTAATTAAGTATAAATCATAAATCAAGCAAGGGCATTCTTGATATTATGATACATAGCACCATGGATTTGAAATGTGGAAGGCACAAAGAGATGAATAGATCATTAGCACATACATATATTTATATATATATATATATATATATAGAGAGAGAGAGAGAGAGGCGCTTTTACAAAGTAGCAAAAGTGAGTAAGGACTAATAAAGAGTGACTCTTCTAAATCTACTGTTGCCAAAGTACAAATTTCCAAGGCGCCAAAAAGAGTATTAACCTTTATATTAAGATTTGAAATTGTCATTTCGTGTAAATCATTATACCTCTAAAGACTACAGCTGCAACCACCTTTATGTTTTTGCTGCGACTTGAATTGAGCAAAATTAATATTTCTATTTTAGAGTGTGTTTAACACTATTTCAAAACATATATAATAACGTAAATTAGTTACAAAATTTTAGAAGCAAAAATATGAAAGCATATTTGGTAAAAGTGTGTTTGACAATTTGAATGGCTACTTAAAAATATTATTTTAGAATTTTTTTTTTTTTGAATAGTACTTCACTACAGTAAGAAAACAAACAAAAGCATAATTTTGATACTTTTGATTTCGGTATCAATTTTGAAAGCATTTCGATATTATTCAAATAATAACAAACATTACCAAATATATTTCATACTTTTGTTTCGCTACAACACACTAGTAAAAACAAAAAAATATAAAACAAAAACATTAGCCAAACGGACCCCAAAATAAAACAAATTCAGGTTACAAGGGTCATCACCCTCTTAGTATTGTGCCTATGATATATATATATATATATATATATATATATATGGTTTGAGTTAGATCCTAAAAGGGCATCAATATATATATATTGATGCCCTTTTAGGATCTAACTCAAACCATATTTTCTAAGTGGCTTTGGCTTCTAATTATGTTGATCCTATTATAGAAGCTTTAGAGACAACATGGGAAATGATAATCCCATCACAGGATTTTATTTGTTAACATTTTCTGAGTAATGCTAAGTAATGTTTGAATGTTAAACAACATGCCAATAACATAGCGGTATGAAGTCCTTATTTCTTAAAGAAAGGTCAAGAATTCAAGCCTGAGTGGATGTGTATATGAGTACTCAACTAGGAAAAAAAAAATTGTTTGAATGAGGGCATAAATGGACCCACCAGATGATACAAATGATGTATGGCCAACGCCACGAATCATCCATGGACTCAAATGGATGGTGTGACACCATTTATGTTGCTATTTCTATTTTAATAACATGATGGGTCAGGGGACCATCTATAGTTGTAGAATTTGTATGGCAATGTTCATTTTTAGTTTTCAAATAGAAGATTTATGGTTCAAGTTTTAGGATAAAATGATATATGAGTATCTTGTTGAGATAATAAATAAAAAGTTAAGTGTAAAAAAAAAATTTAGAATTTGTAAATATGTCGAGAAAAAATTATATTTTTAAAATTGAGCAAATAGGTCCATTTGAATAATGAAATGTCTAAAATGCCCTTAAAACAAAATAATAATAAAACAGTAGTTTTAGTTTTATACAAAAAAAAAAAAAAAAAAAAAAAAAAAAGGTCAATATTGACTTGTCAATATATATTAGGGAGCAATTTGCACATATTTTAAAATGTTAAGATTTATATGCACATACTACACTACATGAGTGTATTTTGCATCATTTTTATATAATAGGGTGTTTTTTTTTTTTTTTTTTTTTTTTTTTTTGTTTTTCTGGCACTTTACTTATATATAAATAAATAATAAAAAATGGGGGCATTAATGAGATGGAAAGCTTGTACAAGATTTTGAGAAGACATGAACCTATAACGTGTGCTTTTCGTGAGGTTGGAGGTTCTATCATTGCAACCTACCAAATTGAATAAATATATGAACAATGAATGTGTGTGATTTAACACATGAACAATCTGCAGTGTTGTAGTGGTTAATATGTCCTTGGTAGGGTCCTTGGGACCCTTTACTTGTATCATGCAATTAACTAAAGAAAAGTATGATTTAAGTCGAACTAAGTTAGAATGTGTTTGGCTTTATAATAATTTTATATATATATTGGGTGTTCTAGCGTAAGAGAATTGGCATGACAGAACCATAAGTGGTTTCAAGACTGACCAAACCCCAAATCTCTTGAACTCAGTGTAAAAAACAATTTATATCTCCTAATTGCTTCAATGAAGAGGATTTTAAGGGAGACACTATAACACTAACAGTGCATCAAAATGAAAAAGGAAATTAAAAACTAAATTTGCGAGCGATTACGTATATCCAAACTTCACAATCATTCTAGAGTTCAGCACTAACAAGTGGATTAATTCTTTACTAGTGAGACACACACAACACCACTACACCCTTTGCTGATCTAAGAACACATTTAAAAAGAAAAACAAATAATCAAAATAAAGGAAAACTTGCAGTTAATATGAGTTGTCAAGGCCAGAGTGGGCAACTTTTTAACATGTTGAAAACGAAGTGCTACCGAAAGTGCATATATTAAAATTATATCGAACTACTACCGACTCAATTCCATTTCAATTCAATTATCGCAGAGCTCGCTATCTTCGGATAATCATGATAAAATATATATATATATATATAGTCATTCATATGTATCTTAATTTTATGCAAGTGGTCACATACGCATGGATCATTGGTACCATTGCAGGGTCCAAGAACAAGGCCACAGATACATATTGGACAGAGGAAGCTCTAACATCATTGGTTTTCGTCTGAAATTGCTTAAAAGTGAATTCATTCTCTTATCTTTTCACTTGAAAAGCCAAAAGGCTCTGAAGAAAGGTAGAAAATAGTGGTTACTTAGCTACTTTGAGTGGGGTTTTGCACCACTCTTCACTTTAGATAGCATGGAAGTCATTCTCCTAGTTCACTAGGGGTGTGTGTGTGTGTGTGTGTGTGAGAGAGAGAGAGAGAGAGAGAGAGAGAGAGGACAAGGTCTGATCCACCACCGCAGGCCTTATGGATTGCCTTTATTTTAAAAAAATTCTCCATGATCACTTTGTCCAGACTAAGACCATTCGGTTAAAGTTCAAAGTTGAGAGCAAGTAATGGTCCTGAAGAAGGTTTTAAAAGCGTTTGTCAATTGGCATATAACTTCTTCAATGTGTGTGTTCACATGAAGTGCAATTAGTAGAGATATGGGAATTAACATTAATTGAAGTGAGTGGAATTCTGTCTCTCATGAGTCAATCAATGTTCCATCTTGTTAACAAAAAAGACACTCACTACTGGGAGGCAGGGTAAGGCTGCAAAGTGGATAAATGGTTCCATTTGGCTTTCAAATAAAGGCATTGATTCAAAAAATTTATACAACTATATATTCTACTATTAATTAAATAAAACCTTCATTTCAAAAAATGGTGTAATTTTGAACTTTCAATGTTCGGATTATGTGCATGTACATCAAAATTATAGCGTTTTGATTCAGAGAATATGGGGGATCTCGTCTTAATGGCGGTAAGCACAAGTCATGACACTAAATACTCTAATTTCATATTTTTTCCTTCAATATTGAAGTAAATAAAACGTGGAGTTAACACTATTATTGTCCTTTTTAATGGGAGGTTGAGAATTCAGTCTTCATAAGGGGAAGTGATGAGTAATGCATAAAAAAACACCAACAGTAAGACTCCGTGTTAGGGAGAGCCACATATAGAGCTTGGTGGTAATATGCATCCGGCATATATACAGTTCAGATGGGCCTAAAGTTGACTTGCACAGTTGCACCCACTTTCTTCTAGTCCATCCTTCAAATCTTAGGGAATATTGGACAAATTTTACCCAATTATATAATTGGGTTGGGCTCACTTTGGGTCAGATTTAACCCAAATATTTGCGATAAGCAAAGCATAAATATGGACTTAGCAAGGGACTTGTGTATCGCTAATGCTTTTTAAAGTGAATGGTTAGGATTCCACTCTACAAAAGGGCAAGGTTGTGCGTTTCTTGTCAATATAAAATAAGTAAATAAAATCTCGTATAGGATTTATGATAAATTTTAATATATTAGATGGGAATTTCTTTATCATATTAATATTGATAAATAATGAGTTGGCCTTCCAAATTTTTTTAAAATTCTCTCATTTATAGTTACCTCTATCCATGGTAATGGAACGTGGTTTAAGAAAGAAATACTTGTAATCCTTTTTGAAAGTCTTTAATTGCATCATTGGTACAACATAGTAATAGTGTATAGTAAATTGTTTTTTATGATTTAAAGAGAAAAGAAATATAATGGTCGACAATTGACAACTTCATTTATTTTAAACAATTCATTTATGGACATGCCCTTAAAAATGTATATTAAAAATGCAATCATTTTTTTTTTTTTTAACAGTTGTTTTCTTTTATTTTTAAAATTTAATTTTATATTAATATTTCGCCCCCCAAATGAAAATTTCTAGCCCCGTCCCTGGTGACAAAGAAAGCATTATTTCTCCTCTGGTTTGTTCCTCAACCAAGAAGGAATTGAAGTTAGTCTGAAGCTTGACACAAAAGAGACGGGCTCAATTCAATGTATGAAATCTTCAACCCTAATCCAATCTAACTTGACCATAAACTTAAGCTAATGAACCAAAGTCCAAGTCATACTTATTTTTTAAAATTTGGATTAAATTCGTAGTTGCAACTCGAAGTAAAATTTCAAGTTGAAATGGGCTTCCCTCTCAGATTAGAATTCACGTTCATATAATAACAAAGAAAATAATTAAAGGGTAAATTGCACTCACACCCCTGAAATTTCAAAAGTCATATTTACCCATGAACTTGTTAATTGACAAAAATAAGCCTAATCAACATTCTGTATTCCCTTCACCCACTACTGCCACACCCATACACCACTGCAACCCACGTCGCCGCAACCGCCACATCAAACACAACACAACCACCGCACACAACCAAAACACCCTCCGCCACACACACACGCATTTGGGTCAAACGCACACACCCCACCACAACCACCGCCATACCCACACACCCATACACTGCTCGAGCAAGTTGTTGGACCACAGAGCCCAATCTTAACCCTACCAATGCGAAATTATCGACGGTGAAGAGAAGATATGTGTTCGCTGCTGCAATTATTGAAATTGTTAGTATCACCAAGTAAATCTTTGTTCACCGCAATTGTCGATCATGTCTCTAATACGCGAGCAGTGGTGGTGGTTTTGATTGTTGGTGGTGACGACAGTGGTAGGTTTCTTTGATTTGTGAGCGTTGGTGTCTTTTGCCTTTGATTCGGTTTCGTTGGTTTTTGTAATTTGAGACAGACTCGGGTGAGCTTTGGATTGTTCGACACATTAACCCCAACTCAACTCAAAATGAAATCGAATTCTTAATTTTCAACCCAAGTCCGAATCGAATTGCAATTTATACAGCTCAAATTTGATTTTTTTTTTTTATTTGGGCTCCAGTCAAATCGAATTTGACCCGCCTAAGTTGCAGTCGTATAAGTGGATCAGAATCTTATGTTGTACCAACTCTTATAATATATTGTTTTATAGATGCACTTAAACATAATTAATTCGAGATACAACATAATTAATTAAGCCGATTGTAGTGATGATGATATTTACTTAGTAAATATTACTACGTAATAATAATAAGATTCTTTAAAATAAAATATTTTTACTTATGTGATATAATAAAATTGATTAATTAATAAGTCACGACATAATAAACGTGAAACGAAGTCTTTTTCCAAAATAATGGTGTAACGTGCAGCAACACCAAAGCATTTTTGTTACACCGACATACGGAAACTCAATTTAGCTGTATTGCATCATTGAAATAAAACACACACAGGTCAATTCCACTGCTTGATAGTGTAAACAAGATAAACACCAAAATATTCTAAAGGCTTATTTTTTAGATTCCACTATTCTCTTTCTTTCTCATTGGCTGAGCGGTGGGCTGTTGCTTTCTGACGAAAGGATGGCAGATCGATCCACGTGTCCATGCCCGATTGGACACCACAAAAATATTCACCACAAATGGGGGTGATGAAAATAAATAAAGTCAAACTTATGTCACCCAAACGGTAAGCATGCGTTAACGTTTACTCACACTCCGAGAGCTCCAAACGCTCCCCTAAACGCTATCCTAACTGTGGCCGTGAAGTCACGACAAGATAAAGAAAATCACGAGACAAATATAAAATAACAAAGCAAAAAATATTAGAGTAATAGTTCAGGAAAACTATTTATTTTACTTTCAACATATAACAATACTCGTTCGGTCTCATCAAAATAAGTGTTCATATATATATATATATATATATATATATATATATATATATTATCTATTTCAAAATATATAAGTGTATCATTTTAAAAGTTAATCATACTATTTTTTGTAATATTATCAATTTAAAAAATAAATCATCATAATAAATTTAGTAATTTATTTACTATTAATGTAATAAAAATTATTCTTTTAAAAAGTTAAGTTCCCAAAAACATAACACTTGATACAAGTAACACTATATTCAGTTTCTTTACAGCCAAATATGATAAAGTAAATTTATTTATTTATAGTTAAAAAACTTAAATACTCTCTTTTTATAGTAATGACATAATATCACACATTAATTATACACTAATACATAGTGATAAAATGATCACACATTAATTATACACTAATACATAGTGATAAAGTGAGCATTTAATTTTTGAAGGATAGGACCGAATTGATAGATAAAAAAAGAAAGAAAGTTGGGAGACCAAAAAAAAAAAAAAAAAGAGAAATCATAATTACACTGTACTTTATTGTACTTAAAATTATATAGTTATTTTCATAAACAAAATTGATAAAATTGTTGTTTAGAAACACTCATATGCTCCACAATTATATAAAAACTCTCACACTCAATTTATTTTGAATATTTTTGTCATTTCTCTTATAAAAAACAAAATATATTACTACTTAACAATTAGCATTAATTCAAATAATTAAGTAGTAATATTGCGAATACTAACTTTTTTTTTTTCTTTCTAATCCTTAATTCCTCATTAAAGATTACTCCGTATTTTACTAAATCCCTCTTTCTTTCTTCTATTTATTTTCTTTAAAATCAAGCATGAAATAAAAAGAGTGGGCCCAAAAGGCACCGACTTGCTGAGGCGACTCCTGGGCCGAGCAAAGTTGGCCTCGCATCGAATGAACTGTTAAAATGACGTTGAGAACAATATAAAATTAATTTATTATTATAATTTATTGAATTATCGTTTTACGTTAAACAATTCCTTCTCTTCATCAATTTGAGTGTCGTCTTCGCTTCTTCTTACCAGTCCTTTCTTTGCTTCGCATGTCTTTGTCGATTTGTCCCCCTTTCAATCCACGTTCTCTCTATCTTCACGATCTCTTATGTTTTTTCATTGATTCCAAACCCTAGTGTTTCTTTATCCTTGACACCTATTTCTAGCCATTGATTCTAGGGTTTATCGATCGATCAATTGAGCAGTTCTGAATTGTGTTTCGGTGGCGATGACCTATGGCGTGAATGATGAGGACGACGCTGTGGTGCCGGAGTCGAGGTTGACGATGGGAGACGGAAATGGGGATTATGTCAAATTTAGGGAATCTGACGGTTGTGGAGCGCCGGAGATTTTTGATGGTGGTGGGGCCCAACCTTCCTCCTCCGTGAGGAGATCATGCTGGTCTCTCTGGTGGTGGGCTAAGGCAGTGTTCTTGCTCATTTTTTGCGTGGCATTGGCCGCTGTCTTTTCCAAATGGATCGGTCCCTTCTTCATGGATAAGGTATATGTATATGAATGCATCTATGTAATTATGCATTTATGTTGTTTAATCTGCCTTTTTATGTGTTCTTATAGGTATGAGACAGTAGTTGATGGGGGATTTTGTTTTAAGGTCTAGAACTACATAGATAGCATAATACTGGGGATACAATGTGCCTTATATCAAGGGTTGGAATATTCTTTATCGGTTAATGTATTCTGAAAGCATTTGTTTCTTAATATCATTTTTAATTTGTGACATCAGATTAATTATTTTCTCAATTTGTGATGCCATTTAAGTATTGGGTTCGTACAAGCAAAAATTATTGTAAGGATGTAGATAGAGTTCCTTTTACAAAAAATGTGGAGCTTGCATGGAGTGGGCTCCGAATGAGTGGTCTACTTATATTGCAGCTGAGTTATGAAACTCCATTGTGGGTACTTGATTCAGTTGCCTGAGCTGGAAGTTGAATTTGTACCTCATGATATTAATCTTCTAAGCTGACAACTGGTGTGTGGAAGTATAGTTATTAATAGTTATCGTGTTTTATCTTTATAATAAGGTCATGGTGATTGATTAGTAGTTTTTCCTCCCTCGAATTTTTTAGTATGTACTCACATTGCATAGGATGAGATATCATTGCTCTTTATGATAACAAACTGTGAAAAGTATAGAGATGTGGTTAAATAACTTGAACTGTGATTGTGCATTCTAGTACTGTTTCTTTGCACTCTGACTAATTTGTTGTTGTTGAGCAGGAGATTATTCCTATAATAAATTGGGAGACGGAAACATTCAGCACGCCAGTGCTTGGAGTTTTGCTCTTTGCTTCCGTGGCATTGTTCCCTACTTTACTTCTACCATCTACACCTTCAATGTGGGTGGCTGGGATGACTTTTGGTTATGGATTTGGATTTCTACTAATCATGGCGGGAGCTACTATAGGGGTGTCGCTTCCATATTTCTTTGGTTCTCTCTTCTATCATAAAATCCAAGTGCGTTGGTATTTCTTAAATTTGTTTCAATCTTTTATTGTGAAAGAATCTCTCTTTCTTCTATTTGTGCATATTCAAATTAAACTTTTTCATCCTATTGTAGCGGTGGTTAGAAAAATATCCAAAGAAAGCATCCGTTATAAGATTAGCTGGTGAAGGAGGTTGGTTTAATCAGTTTCGAGCTGTTGCATTAATCAGGATTTCTCCATTCCCATACATCATATACAATTACTGTGCTGTGGCAACAAATGTTAAGTATGGCCCTTACTTTTTGGGGTCCTTGGTAGGAATGGTGCCAGAAGTTTTTGTTACAATTTACACGTAAGAATACTGTCTCTCTCTCTCCCTCTCTCTTGCTTATTTGTATCGAAAACTACACTGGCTCACATATCTAGAGTGATAAAGCATCCTTCATATAATATGTTATCAGACATCAATATATGTCCTTAATCTTATATATTTCACACGTGCATATTTAACCTTTCAATAATAAGTTACTGTTCAATTCCATCTAGGCTGTTCAAGCAATTGGTTTATTATTTTGTGCGTGTAACTTGCACTTTTGTGTTTATAATATTTAACATGAACATTGCCAAAATCAGAGCTTATAAAGCTATTCATTCCTGTTGCTGAAGTTATTTCTTGTTTGATCAACATAAATGAGAATTACCAAAAGGCCAGTGGCCTAGTGGTACCAGGCCCCTACTTTCCATAGGGAGGTCAGGGGTTCGAGCCTCAGTGGAGGCATGTGTATGTGAGTACTAAGAAAAAATTGAGAATTATGAGATGCATGGACCAAAGGGGATATGCAACATTGTGAATAGTGAACCATGTAATATGCATAGACATGATAAACAAAATGAATGTGATGTACCAGCAATTGATTGGGAAAATATTTACCCAGTAATTGTTTGTTTAGTAGAACTGTAGAAGGGAACATAATGACAGGGTGGAAGGGAAGGGGATTGATTAATAACTTCCCATTGTTTGGTAGGAAGGGAGGACTTAAGGGAAGAGAGGAGGAGGGAAGCAATTTCTTTTCAGACTCACCATACTAAATTTTGGTGGAAAGGAGGGGGAAGGATTTTTTATTTTGGGTATATTTTGTCATATAGATAACAACCTTCCTGTAATTAGGTATAATTTTGAAATAAGCAATACCCATTTCCTTTTTTGTTTTTGATCAACAAAACGAAAGGAAGGTAAGGAGATGCTTTTTCCGTCCCTCATGCCTTTTCAAATTTCCTTCTTTCATGCCCAAAGGAGCATAAAAGGATAAAAACTTTCAAGGCACATGAGAAAAACCATAGACTTATTTGTTACTATGAAAGTATGAAATACAACTTCTTTTTCCCTTAAGGGGAAGTGCAAAGTACCCTTTAAAACTTGTTTCAGTTTTATTTGACACTCGTTTTTCTCATCCATTGTTTTAGAGTTTGAAGACTAAAAAAGCGTTTATTGCCTATCTTCTGTGTGATGTCATCTCTCATAGCTCTGTTTTAAACTCAAATGAAAATACCGTCCACTTGAGTTGTCATTTTGGTTGTCGTTGCCACCAATACTACAAAGGGCAGGATTGATGGGGTTCAGAAAATGGGGAATTGACAGAGGAGAGTACCCAGAAGTTCATTTAAAATGATTTCTTGATATTTTTCTCTACGGCCACCATAAAAAATTTTTGATTGGGAAACATAAACACACCCTCCCTCTCTCCCTCACATGTGCGCGCAAGAGCATACACATGCAAACATGAAAAACCGTATAGGCACTAACTTAAGTAATTAACGTCAATAATTTTTAGTGGGTAAAGTTTCAATTTCAATGTTGTTGGCTAACCTTATGCTGCCTTATTTTTTTACAAACACTTTGGATATTCAAGATAAGTTCAATCTCATCTACTCTACCTTTGGCCATCAGAACCTTGAATTTCTGCAAGACACTAAAAGTTGATATCATTTTCAATAAATGGAGCGACATTTTGTTTCCTAAGTTACATAGACACAGAAGTATAATTAGAGTTCTTGTGATGGATAACAGGGGTATGTGATTCATTTACTGGTGAACATTTCCCCATAAAAAATTGTTAAGGAAATGGCCACATGCATCTCTGGGAATTTAATAGGGTGCCTTCTGAATATGTTCTTTCTATGACATGAGTATGTCATAAATGAGTGTACCAATCATGTTTTGTAAGCCATTTATTATTATTATTATTTATTTTTATTTCATTTTGCTGAGTTTCTTTACGAAGAAAATTAGCTTGGGAGATATTATGGTCATCTCCCTAGATTTGGGGACTAAATCAACAGACAAACACAAGCATACCCCTGGTTTTGATGTAGCTCAGAAAGTGAATAAGAATTGTCTCAACGAAATAGAATTCGTGATGTTGTGGCCCGAATTTGGTGCCAGGTCACGGTGCGACCCGTTTATGAGCGTTGAAATTTTTGACCCGTTTTGCTTGTGGGTCGTGGAACCTAATTAGTACTATCTTGTTGCCCGATATATAAGGCCATTTAGGGTTTGGAGTGGGTGGAGATTGGGACACTAAAAATCTACAGAAAGAGGGGCTGAAACTTGTAATATCCTATTTTTCGCATGGTGAAAACTTTTGCCGGATCTCCACCATGATGTAGGCTTTGCTGAACCACGCTAAATCTGTGTTCTTTGTGTGGTGTGGTTACTTTTGAGTTGTGTTTCTTGATTTATTCTTGGGTTTGCTGCGTTTGTCGTAACAAACAAATATATGAATATGATATTTTCTTAGATTTGTGCTAATCTATCATTCATGGTAGTATTCTAATGTTCGTCAACTTGGAGGAGTTTTTTTCCAATATTTCATCAATGGCTAATTAATCCTTATCACTTTGTCAGTCTTGTAACTTTTGACATGTCATACAATGGATGTCTTAATTTTACAAGGACGATCTATGGTTCACTACATTGTGTTGCCTTGTATGCCAAGAAGCCAATGTTGGTTTGTTTGAATATGCATGCATGTGCGCACACACAAACAGATGTATGCATCGTCATTGAACTTCGAAAATGCTACAACACAGGCTGCATTGTGATTTGATGGCAGGTTGAATGTCAACCATGCATGACCTTGCCACTGCTTAATGGATGGATATGGTGTCTTGAACTGCTGCTAGTGCTGGCCAGAGTAGAGGCTGTAGAGGCTGGTGGCTGCCCCCATCTGTTAGGGAATGTATTTGTTCCTTCTGCCTTCTTGGTAGAGGAGAGTCCTCCACTACCTCTGCGGTTAATAACTGATGCGCATTTTGTGCTGCAGATCACAGTTGGTCATAGCCAATTGTTTGCCCTTTGGATTCTTTACTGGCAGCTCTGTAAGCTTTTCAGTTGGTTTTAATCATAGATTAAGGGCAGAACTGCATAAGAGTGTGTGAGTTGAACTGACCCCAATGAGATTTAAAACAAGAAAAATAGGTATATCCTGTAATAGTTTTTCCCTATCTAATACTGAAATCCTTTAAAACTATCTCTATTTTCCATGACTTTAGATTTTATCCCCTAAGGATTTAGCAGGAAATGCTGCCTAAGCTAGACTGCTGGGGATAATCTGTTTTTGTTTCAAGGTATCTGTTATAATTCCTAGTCTCAAACCATGTAAATAGCAAGAGACAGATAAATGAGTAAGCAAAAGAAGCAAGAAGAAGAAAATACATTTTACCGAAAAAAGAAAAAAAGACACGAGAGTACAGAACTAAAGGGAGTTTTCATTCTTGAGGTAATCCGTAATTATCCTTCTTTCAATTAACATAAAGGTAAGTAAACAAATCTGTAAACTTTTAATTCATTCATATTTTAAATAATTGAAATGAAAATTTATAATTTCATATATTCAATTATTTAGTTTTTGATTGTAATTCGAATATTAAAACATTTTTGGTTTTCAAGGTTTGCCATCTATTTCATATAATTGTGTTCATCCTCTAGATTGCTTGCCTTTGTGTGTTCCTCATTGCCAGCACTTTGTTGATACTTTTTACTCCTCTTATGTGATATGATGAAAATGCAATGTCAATCATTTTCTGAAGTTATAAGTTTATATGGGAGATATTATTTAGGTTTCTCTGCTGTCTTAATCTTCGGTCAACTAATGAGCTTTTATTTATTTATTTTTATATATAAATAAATTGTAGTGGTATCCTGATACGAACGTTGGCTGATGCATCATATGATCGGCGGTCCCTCTCTGCACCACAGATCATCTTCAATGTCGCTGGTTTCTGTGCTACCGTGATTACCACAATACTAGTTACGGTGTATGCAAAGAGCCGGCTCAAGGCATTACAGCACCAGGAGGAGCCCCTACTGCAGTAAGCTTTTTATTTGCTCTGGTCTGGTTTAAGTCAGGAAATAATATGCCTGCTAAGCCAGGTCAGATTTACACATGTAAACACAATGTGGCTGGATAAGGTTTTACTTATTATATGGTATCACTGATACGAAAACGTGGAAGGGAAGGATCCAAGACGGGCTAATGTGGTATCCATTTTGCACCAGTGCATCCAATTTTTAGAAGCTAGAAAGGGAAGAAAAATCTGCCTGTCTTTGTTATTGCTCTCTCTCTCTCTCTCTCTCTCTCTCTCTCTCTCTCTCTGTGTGTGTCTCTCCCTGATTTGTCATTTGTATATAAATTGAAATATCTAGATTTGAAGTGTTAACAATTCTTTGAGATTTGGAAATGTAAATCTGTTGCAGCTACCTTTATGTATTGTAGGCTCGTCGTAGTCTTGTATATGATTATTAATTTTTTGTGGAAATTGTGTATGTTTTGCATGAGAAATCGTCACCATACTGACAACGTGTTATTAGGTTGACCGTGTTTGCCCTGAACTCATATGTGATTCTTCTCGATTTCGTTTTTTTTTTTTTCTTTTGCCTACTTTCTGGTTCTTCAATTGTTAATAATTGCAACAAGTCACGGCCCCGCTGACTACAGTGAAGCATTGTTTTGGAGAATTATGATTTTTATAATGCATAATAGGGCTATTATTACGATTCTTTGGGTTGGTATTATTATTATTATTATTTTAAAGTTTTCCCTGTATATATCACTATATGGTTTGCCTTTGAGTTGCACCTTGACTTGCAATATTTGTAAAAGATGGAGTGGGTGATGACTTCAATTGTAAAACCCTATCTCTGATTCATGTTTGTAGGATTCTGAGTTAACTTTTTCTTTTTACCAACCAACTCAGTTCAGTACCTTCTCATTTCTTTTGGATCTTCTAGTCATGCCCGTGACTTGCAATTCGAAGACAACTACTTTATCCTTCTCAAATACACTTCCCTTGTATAGCTCTGGGTGCAAACCCAAGAAGAAGCTTTACCCACTGAAAGATCTGTGAGTGATCTAACACACAAACATAATGGAGCAATAGCATCTCAACTATGAGATTTACAGAAATCAACTCCTCTCCGAATGTGTTTCATAACTATTGGAATGTCCTCAGTCAATGTAGTAAAACAATACCGAAACCAGCCAGTTTCAATGCAGCAACAGGAAGATCCAGGAATTGCATTCATCTTGGCTACACTAACCATCTTATCCAAGGGGTCAAGCTCCCCTTTCTTGGGTTAAGTTGACTATTCAAGGAAATCTGAGAAAATTCTCTCACATTTCATAGTGCCACAAAATGTTCCAACTCATTTCAAATACAACAGGAAACAGATTAACAAGCTACGAGGATCTGCAGCCTCAGGCTTTCAATGAACATGTTGACCTTACACCAGGCTTTATAACAAATATCAAATCAAAGATTAAAATGCCAATGGCATGCAAGGGTTATACAGCCAATTTTCATTTACAATTAGGCTCTGTTTAAATATTTTCAGTATTTGGTTGTCGTAAAATATTTATAAAGAAAAAACTATTAAAATCTTAAAAAAATAACTTATTCATCAATTTTCAATGAACTATTTTACTCGACCTCAACCTCCTTAAACCTTTGTCAAATATGAAAAAATAAAAATAAAAGAAAATATTTTACATAAAGGAATATTTAAAATATATATATATATATATATATTTTACGTCAAGAATGCGTGCGATGTCAATTCTAAGGAAAATGAATAATATATATATATATATATATATATATATATATGACACTTGGATGGTGTTTTGCATATGACAAAAATTCCCACCCCGACGGGAGCCCGCCTTACCAAACGTTTATGGGAACCGATTATGTAAATGGGGACAAGGATGAGAATACTTTGAAAAACCCGGCGAGTTTTGTAGTGCTTTCAGAGAAGGTTGTCCCACCCCGCCCCGCCCCGCCCCAAATATGCTATAACCTTATTAAATAACCTTATGATATATTACTAAAATAGATTAAGTATATAATATACTTAACCTATTAATAAGCTAAATTCAACCAGCAAAAAAAAATTGCTAATAATCTAGACTAACAAGTCCAGAGGTCTATCAAGAAACGTAATCATCTGAAAACCGAAAGGTGGTTGTTTTTTTTCTGTTCACAGAAACTTTAGTTGGCAGATAAGTTTCTTCGAGGAGGCAGCATTCCTTCTCTCTGGGCCATTTCGTACAGGGCAATGGCCATCAGAACCTTTGCATCGGCGGTCATGCGCCATAGTTTCTCATAGGGAACTACATGCACCTTGATCAGCTCACCACGTTCACGAATACCTGTTTCTTTACCTCGCAGCTCAGTAATAGTTTTTTCATCCACATGCCCTCTGTATAGAAACAGGCTAATTTCTTCATCGCACCCTCCCTAACAACCGAATAAACATGAGACTCTTTAGTGATAAAACTAAACAATAAACATTAAAAGTATGATTCAGATAGATGAATGGTCATACTACAATATTCATGAGATATTGAAAATCACAAACAAATAAAGAGGGTACACGATATGATTCTTTGATGTATTATTGAAGGGATTGTTCATATACATGTTACTTGGAAATATTGATATAGTATGACTTGTTTCAGATGATCCTAAACTGTAAGCACGTTGAACTTTATACTTTAACATCTGGAGCTTTTTGCCATTAAAACAGACAAATTTCTCCTTTTGATTTAATCTCTTCTCAAACAACAAAAGAACAAAATGTTGCAATTTATGCAACTTAATAGAAGACGTAAGAGTATAGTTTCGAGTGTTGGATAGAAGTCCAACAGTCAATTTTAAAAATCCAAAGAGTAGTTCCAATTTCATGCAGAAAATTGCTGTGATTTAGGACCAAGGAAACTCTCCTACTACCTAGAAAACATGCGCAAATTGTAAAGTTCATATCATAACCTAACCATGGCTACCCCGTTCACATGGGATAAAAAAAGGTAAGGATGATGTCATGACATAACCTGAGAGGGACACTGAGTGTGAACAAAAATCAAACAAGTCTGAAAATCATGCTAAATAGATAAGCACCACATATAATATTGTATGGCTGCATAGAGTTCTACTGATTTCCCATGATTGTGAAAATGAATATGGTTCCAGTTTTGAGAAAAGACATGACTGCCTATGGTTCCAGGCTATCAGAAAAGACACGACTGCCAATATTTTCATAGGAGACACAACTATAGATAGAGCTAAATGGAAAGGGATGTAGCCGCAGTAGCTGGGTTTAGGGCTTTATTAAGTTGATGTGAACAGTGTGGAAATGAAAATAACCAACATCAATTGTGGTATCCTTGGTTGGAGCACGACAGCTTAAGTTTTGTATATATACAGCCACAAAGAGTTCCCAAAAAGAAAGCCACATTACACTCTCTTGGATTAATCAAATGGACACATGGAACTAAAAAAAGTACACTTCAAATAATGCGTTGATTGACATTCAATTCATAAACTATTTTCTCTCCTTACACCCGAATTTAATAGACTACTTAAAGACATATCTCACAATAATGCTTTTTGGTCCTCAATGATTATTTTCTATACTCACATTTCTTAAATAACTCTTGGACCTTCTGCAATGACCTGTCTCCTCCAATTACAATTGTAATATTAGAGGATAAACAATTTGATGGTTTAAATTTTTACTGCCACTTCCTATGGATATTCTTAGAAGCACTCCAGAATGCTAGTTACTCCTGGCAACAAATAATTCTCAAATCTAAAATCTTCAACTATGGATTGTAAAGATCCTGTTTGGTAGTTGTGATTCACGAAGAAAGGATGAGCACCCACATACCGGAGAAGGGAAAGCTCTGTATCCGGTTGATGGATCCAAAAAGGCGGTGAGGTCAACCATGACATCTTTATTCAAGCGTATACCAGTCTCCTCTTCAACCTGTCATATTGATCTGATCAAAAGCATAAATTTGAACTGTGCAATGTTTGTGTTGTTCCACATGAGCTCAAAGACTAAAGAAGTCAATTTTGTTAGCCATGAAAAGGCTAATACATTTTAGAAGAAAATGCAACTTGTAAACATCACTAAAAAGTACATGATCTGGAAACTTTCAAGCAGAAGACATCCCAGAAAGAATACTTAAATCCGGAATTTCAGCCAATCTGGAACAAAGGTCTTAAGCATCAGAGAAGATTCATATATGCATTCTGCACCATGTTACCTAATGAAATTACGAAAATACCCACACATTTTTCGCATGCAATGCTGTCAATTAAGTTGCTCATGTCTTGTGTAAGATTATTGTTACACCATATATATTGTCACCATTATTTAACATGTAAACTGCCTATGTCAAGTGTGGGTGTGAGTTAAAGTTTTGGCAGAGATGTCACATGTAGGATAGTAGGGAAGAGAGAGGGGATGGTAGTAAAGGCTTACATGGCCAGAGAATGTGAATTGCAACATGAGGAACACCAGAGCATTAATCACAATGGCACCACCTTTCTTGAGAAAAGCAAAAGGGGCCACCCTTTATTTATAACCAAATGAATCGAGGATAGATTGTAAAAGTTGGTCCAGGTGCCCAACAACATTAGCCAACTGGATAGTGTGACAATTTTTTTTAAAAAAAAGTCCCAACACATTTTTTGCACCAATTTTTAAGTAAATGAAAGAAGACGTGTTTAAAAGTGTCCTATATTGGGTGAACACAAATAAACACATTTATCAGTCAACAATAATTTACAAGATGCAGCAGTCAAAACATTTTACCAGAAGAACTTTACTCCTGCAGAGCAAGCAACTGAATGAAGTCCAACTAATGTAAATGCTTAAAGCGAAGAGAGACCACATCAAAATAACGAGGAACAGATTTGAAATTGACAATCATGTCACTATACTAAATTTTATAGCCAGAACAGGACTACTTGCTAAGTTCATTATATGCTATCTGCAGCCCACACTAATGCTCATGTCCATGCTCGTTTACCTATCTGAATATATATTTATAAGGTATCAATTGTTGGAGGTGGGGAGAGATAGGGAGAGAGAAACCTCGCGAACTGCGTTTCCCACAAAATCACCTTTATTCTCATCCAACATTCCAGCTGGCAATTCCAAGATAAGCCTTCCAACAGGTACCCTGGCCTTTAACACGCATATGGCTCATTATAATCAACAATGAGATAAAACATATGTAAAAACAAATCATTTATTCAAAATATCTACTCAATTGTTAAAAGTACAATTGTTTAGTAAACACTGCACTATCAGAATCATTAGTAGACAGAAAAAAGTACCTGTTCAGTGAGCACAGCATAAGTCTCACCCTCTGAATCCAAAAGGATCAGCACAGCTACAGCTGGTCCTCGTGCGAAGACAATACCTGGAACCTAAGCATGTTTTAGATCATATAGGGTAAAATAAGGACTGATTCATGAGCACACCACATAAAGAATAGTAGAACAGATGGAGTATAAACTTTCCAAAGTTGATCAAATAAAACATGTTCATGTAGCTCCATTGAGGCTAAAATCATGCACTGTCACTGAAAATAGGACTAACAAACAAGACCAAGCAGGCCAAGCAAAGCCAAGTTTTACCTATTAAAAGGATTTAGATGGATTTAAATGCAGAACTGATGCATCGAATTAGTAATTAAATACCTTATTCCCTGTTTCCTTATCGATAACATCTGCTTTGAACTTAAGAAAGCCAACATGCTTCCCAAACATATCCACTCCCTGTTACCAGATCATGAAAAAACTGTAAATCTTAGTAAGTAGAGAAGATGAAAAATATTTTTGGTGCCACTTGTGAAGGAAGTAAATAAATGGGCTGCACCAATAAACAACGTTAGCTTTTTTGGTGCCAATGCTGAAGAAGACTTGTTTTGCCACTACCTTGGAGATTAATTGAAAAAATATTTTGTCAAAACTTTTCAAAAGATAGACCCTTCCTTGGATCCCAAAGTAGTTGAATCAATGCCCCAAATATGGATTTGAGTTAACAAATTTTCAAAATCTAACCAAGCTCACAATTAATATAATTGAAAAATAATAATAGTATATGCACATGATAGCAGCAATCCAGATTGGTGATATTCAAGATAATAAATTAGCTCCAAGAAGTTTAGAATGACAATCTTATAGAAAGCAATGTTTGAGAGATTCTGAAAGTTTCCAAGGGTGCTAGCATGCCTCGGAATATAATTTAGCATTAGGAAAGCTGAACCCCCTAAGTTATTCAAGAGATTCTATTCTATGGGAATCCACATAAATAGTTGCATTGTCGAATTCATTCTCTTTCAATGCCCCAAAAAATCATTACAACACAACAAGAACAAGAACAAAAAATAAATAAAACAAATACAGTGCATCAAAAGATTAAAACCAATCTAAACTATTTAATGCATTCATGAGGCTACAGGAACATGTATGAAGTACAAAGTACTGTGTGTGAACTTCTGAAAACAATGGCAAGGAGATGATACCTGAATAAGTACTTGTCTTAAAGATGCAGCCCCATTAGCAAGAATCCCAGTTTCAGATTGCATGTTCTTCAGCCACTGCTTGAACAAAGAGGATTCAATAGCATTCCTGTGACACAGAAGACCATATAAATAACTCAACAGACCTGAGCTGCACATTAATCCTCAGAGTTCTCCTCTAGCAACAACTAGCAGAAGGAGCCAGAAAAAAAGTTTCACCTTCATAACAACAATGGAAAATGATTTTTTTTCTTTTTTCTTTCAAGACCTCCAATAAACCATATGCTGCCAAAATAATCAATCCATGTGTGTATACTGGCCATAATCAACTTTCCAATGATATTAAATATAAAACAAAACAATGTTGCTACAAGCAGTCACTTGGGCACCTAGGTAACAGGCTAGAGGGCAATAAGATAGTGTACATACAAAGAGATTAGAAATATTGTTTTTATTTGTATCCTATATACATATGGGTCTTACACAATGGAATGCGGGAAAGTAACTGTCTAATCCAATCCTTAAATTGTTGTGGGCTTGGGAGAGGTCAAATGAAAGATAAGAAACTAAGTTCAACAAAGTTACACATTCACAAACACATTGCACAATAAATAATACCAGCAGAGTTAATTATGAGATTCATAAACAATTTACCGCGAACCTTTTACTCAAGTGGCATATTCTTCTTGTACCACATGGAAGGTTGAAGTTTCGAGTGCCATTGGGAGCAAAAGGCGATGTCTGAGTTGGGTGTGAAACTTACATACCAAAAAACAGAAAAAAAAAAAAAAAAACAAAAAAAAAAAGGACTTATGAAAAATCTCCCATACATAATTTTTTATTTTATAAAAAGGCACGTGTGTCACAAGTCACAGCCTGCTCTGCTGTGTAGAGATTGTCAGCTTTGCACACTCTCCGTGATCACGGTTTTCAAAAAGCGTCTACATAATTAAGAGGTATCCACGCATATATATGTGAGCAACTTCTCTCCCCATATGTTATCAGAGCCAATCCCTAGTCAGAAATGGTCAGAATGTGCACAAGGAGCAAGGATGCTGGGTCTCGAGGGGGTGATTGTGACGTCCTACATTGCTTGGGGGGAGAAGTTCACGGTACTTATACGTGTGGACACCTAATTGTGTAGACGCGTTTTGAAAATTGAGAGCATGGAGAGTGTGCAAAGCTGACATTATCTACTCAACGGGGCGGGTCATGACAACATGCATACAATCGGGTCAGTACATCCCTTATGGCTTTACATATTTATATTTATATGCAATGGTGAATTCAAGGGGTGGGGAGAGTCCACAGCCCCCCAAGTTTTGTAATCACAGGCATAAACTATTACATAACAAATTCTTCCACAATAATATACTAACCCCTCAAAAATATCTGGAATTGGTCCCCATCCCTAACCCAAACAAGTTCTCCTCATTGATAAACCTAATAATACCTCAAATTATCCCAATTTCTTCTATCTCCCCTGGTGCCTTCCTATCCCAATTGCAATCTTACCCATTATAGTAATCTGAATTTTCTAGACCTTCCAACACTTTAAAAAAAATAACAGGAGAGTGAAGACATTAATAAGAAAATTGGGGGAACATTAGCCCCAAGGCCACATGGCCTTGTTACATTTTCTCACAAAAATACAAATTTACAATAAAATGCGCATAATTACAACTCCATTGCTAATTTTTTTTTTTTTCTTCACGCGTATTTAAAAATTTCAATAAAATACATCAATTTAGGAGTGATCCATATCTTTTGCATACACACACATACGTATGTCCGTATCTAACATGTATAAAATTTCTCACTGTAACTTTGAAATTTATTGTCGTAAAATATAGTTAGGAAAAGAATAGGGGGAAGAAGAGACTGACTCGCCTGAACTCGGAATCGGAGACACCAGGCGCAGCTACGATGTTGACCGGTTCACTTTGAGTCGGCAAATTTATGGGGTGAGTGAGTTGCGAAAACGGGCCAGAGGACATTTTTGTACAGATTGCTCTTCTTACTCCGTGAGTGTGAAGCAGAAACGGAGAGGACAAAAGTGGAAATTTTTTTGAGAATGCGGGGAGAAAATGAAGCGTCATCGTCGTTCTCTAGGTTTGTATGACTTGGACGCGACTCCTAGTATTTTATATTACATTGAAATGTGTGCAACGCGAGTAATTTTTACGGAGTAGTTAATTACTTGACTTATCACGCGACTCCGAATGACCCCAAAATACCATAATTATAGAAATCTCTTTTCTTATTTTGATGCTCGGCCTCTCTTAAGTTTAAAAATATTCTACACAAACTTTCTTTATGTTAAAATCAATGACGAAAGTTGATAACGTTAACTATTATTTTTACTAAAATTTTTAAAATATCCTTATTTATATAATTTCATATTACAAAAGATATATTCGTGTATATATATATATACACACTTGATATTATATATTAGATGTTGATGTCATGTACTAATTAAATAAAAATTTTAAAATACCCTCATGTATATCGTATATTTACCGACCTAGTAAGTGTACCTTTTTGTTTTGATTTCGTTTTCCTCATTCCTTGTTATAAGCTTGTGTGTGTATATATATATAAATTATGTATAACACCATCGGAGGCCTGCCATTAGATTGAAACCAATGAAATCCACTGATGCTCTGTGCTTTCGAATTGGGTCTCTTTGCTCAATCTCACTGGATTGAAACGTGCCCAAAACAGTGGGAAAGTCAAGAGATAGTCAAGAGCACCCATCTTTTCTTCTTTTCTGTTTAGTTATATATATATAGAGAGAGAGAAGCTAGAACCGAGTTGGAATGGTGGAGATAAATGAATGGTGAGGTGACTTGGGCTCTTATATAGACAGACACGCCCACAGATACACACAAAGAAATAAGAAGGTTAAATGGAAAAAATTCAGAGTATTGATTTTGTAACCAAGCTGTGATTAGTAATAATAAAATAAGAAAAACGATAGGGTCACCGAATGGTTTTCTCGAATCATTCCCGAATCTGACTTGGCTAAAGCCACGTCATATTATTTAAAACACAAAATCTTTAATCTAATCAGATGCTAAAAGTTCGCTAACGCTGTAAAAAGGGGCCGGCTTCTCAATTACCCGGGAAGAGGAAGAGTGTTTCCACGCAATCTCTTGATCACGCGGGAAATTGAAAAGTCTCCCAAATTGAAGAAAGAGATCCCACTTAGTTTTGCAAAAGAAGAAGAAAAATCCAATAATCTTGTTCTGTACTGAAAAGAGAAGAAAATCCCTATAATCTTGTTCTTGTGAAGTTGCTCACGAATCAAGGTTGGAATGTCCCGTCGAAGTTAGCATGCTCTTTTTGATCGGGAGCATCGATCACTGTTGGGTCGGTTGGTGAGTCACCCAAAAAAAGCATCGAGGGTTTAGGTGGAGCCTCTCTCTATCTTAGGTACCGTACTCACTAAACACAAGCACGAGAGATTGTTGACTTTGAGTTGCAGGTCTTCCATAAGAATACGGAAGCCCAGCCATAGCAGCATCCGAATTGACAGAAGAATTCTTAGTTTCTGATCTACTGAGCTAAACCTGAGCACCAGCTCTCCCCCACAAGACTAAAGGTATGTTTTTACATTTTTGCAATCTATTTTTTAACTTATTTATATTGCCTTTTTTTTTTTTTTTTTTGATTAAAGATTTTGAAAGAGAATTATGTTCCATTATAGAATCAAAGAAAACCAATTATAGTTTTCAGAGGCTCCTCTTTGTTTCATCTATTCTGTCGTTCTACAAAGCAATTCTTGTTGCATCTATTCAACATAGAAATATATGAAGATAAATAATATTACTTCATTAAAGCTGTGATTTTGTCTAGCCATGTTCTACTTTTATATCCATGAATGTTTTATATTCTTTCCTCTTAAAGTAATATTGATGGGCTATTGTTTTGAGAAAATTATTATTATTATTATTATTACAGTAATTTCATTTTTTATTTATGTATTTTTGTAACTGATATTGCTTAATAATAAAAAAATGAAATTATTCTTCATTGGAAGACTTTAATGTATTGAACATTGTTAATTTAAATGTGTTCTCAAGTTATTGAAAACCCTGTTGATGTATTTTATTATTGCAGAGCACTGCTATTTTACATTGTTAGGGTTACTTGGGTGATCAGTTGCATTTTATATTTTCATGAGAATGGAGAAGGATTCTTACATGGAAATGCCATTAAACCAAGATAAAAATGTCCCTTGCAATCTCGAGAATAATAACAATGATATAGTGAATAGCCAAGAGTTGGAAAATCAATTAGTTAAGGATGAAGTGGAAAACCCCAAGGTAGGGATGATTTTTGAGTCTGAGGAAGAACTTCATAATTACTATAATAAGTATGCGAAGCATCAAGGTTTTGGTGTTGCAAAAATAAGTGCAAAAAGTAGAAGTGATGGAAAGGCAAGTTACTTTTCACTGGCGTGTGCTCGAAATGGTAAGACAAAATCAAAGGCAAAAGATTCTTTTCATCCAAGGCCTTCAACTAAGACAAACTGCAAGGCCAAAATCAATGTTATAGCTAAGGATGATGGAAAGTTCGTTATTAGTGGTGTCTATCTGAACCATAATCATGCCTCAAGTCCGGGAAAGGTTCGACACTATAGATGTAACAAAGTACTAAATTCTCATGTGAAAAAAAGATTGGAATTGAATGATTTAGCAGGTATAACACTAAGAAAAAATTTTCATTCACTTGTTGTTGAAGGTGGTGGATATGAGAAATTATCATTTGGTGAGAGGGAGTGCAGGAACTACATTGCAAAAGCAAGGCAACTAAGACTTGGCATTGGAGATGCTGAAGCTCTTGGTAATTATTTTTGTGGCATGCAAAATAGGAATCCAAATTTCTTTTACATGATTGATATGGATGAGGAAGGACGTTTAAAGAATGTTTTTTGGGCTGATGCTAGATGTAGGTCAACATATGAGTCTTTTAGAGATGTTATCACTTTTGACACTACTTATTTGACAAATAAGTATGACATGCCTTTTGCTCCATTTGTTGGGGTGAATCATCATGGACAATCAGTTTTATTTGGTTGTGGTTTGCTATCTAATGAGGATACTGAAACTTATATTTGGTTGTTTAAGTCGTGGTTGACATGCATGTTAGGCCATGCTCCAAAAGCTATTATCACAGACCAATGCAAAGCCATTCAAGCAGCAGTTGCAAAGGTGTTTCCAAAATCTTCTCATCGATTGTGCCTTTGGCATATAATGCAAAAGATTCCTGTGAAGTTGGGTGGACTTGCCCAATATAAAGAAATTAAGAGAATCTTAAAAAGTGTTGTATATGAATCCGTGAATTGTGACAAGTTTGAAAGAAGTTGGATGGAATTGATTAAAAATTACAAGCTTGAGAATAATGATTGGTTGAAATCATTATATAATGATCGACATCGTTGGGTTCCAGTTTATTTGAAATACTTTTTTTGGGCTGGAATGTCAACTACCCAACGGAGTGAAAGCATGAATGCTTTCTTTGATGGATATGTCCACTCAAAGACCTCCTTGAAGCAATTTGTTGAACAGTATGATAGTGCCTTAAAAAGTAAGGTTGAAAAAGAAAACAAAGCAGATTTTGCATCTTTCAGTTCTACCATTCCAACAGTAACTGAGTTCTCCATTGAAAAGCAATTTCAAAATGTTTACACCCATGATATTTTCAAGCATGTCCAGGATGAATTTAGGGGATTGATGTATTGCAATACATCTCTTATTAAGAGAGAAGAGTCGATTTCTACATTTGAAGTTAGAGAACATAAATTTGGAAAATATGACATATCTCGGAAAGAGATAACTTATGAGGTTTTTTACAACACAAGTGAATGTGAAGTGCGATGCTTGTGCCATTTGTTTGAGTTTCGAGGGATTCTATGTAGGCATGCAATATCTGTGATGTTACAAGAAAATGTAAATGAGGTTCCATCTCATTATATATTAGACCGTTGGCGGAAGGACATCAAGCGTGGGTATACTTTTGTGAAAAATATATATGATGATTGCAGTAATAGTGAACAAAGGCAACGGAATAATTATTTAAGCCCACTGTTATATGAAGTGCAAGAGCTTGGAGTAGAGTCGGATGAGAAGTGTGAGTTTTTAATGAATCTATTAAAAGAGACAAAGAAAAAGCTCCTAAGCTTTGACACGTGTTGCCATGATAGTCAAGCAAGTGTTGTAGGTCAACCTACAGTGGAGTGTAGTAATAAGCTTCACAAACCATCACATTCTCAGAAGAAATTGCTCACTCCTATAAAAGCAAAAACGAAAGGTCGCCCACCTTCTAACAGGAAACAATCACTTGTTGACAAAATGGCTAAAAAGGTAAAGAAGGTATGCTTTTATTTTATTTTTCTTTACTATTACCTTTACAATTTTGTTGGTTTTCATCTATCAACATTAAGTTTCTATTTCTATAATTTGTTAACAGGTTTTTCAAGGAAAACAGAGAGGCCAAATTGATCAAAATGAGTTGCAAGTGCCGAAAAGGAGAAAGGTAACATATTATTAGTAAAACAAAGAGGACAAATTGATCAATATTAAGAAATGTACTTTCTTCAGATTTCTCTAATAATGACTTACCTGTTGACAATAGTAAGACATCTTCCACTAGTCAATTGTGGTGAATTGTATTAGGTCTGATCAAATAGTTTTTTTTTTTTTTTTTTTTTTTTTTTTAACTTTAAGAATCAATCATCTGCTCTTATATGATTAAAATTGTAAATTACTCATTACTTGCATATATTATTAATTATGAACATATATTTCTCTTGCAGGCTCATCAAAGCATTCCAACTGCTGGGAATGATGTTGTTTTACCAACCATAAGTCCTCCTACTTCAGAAATTCTTGATAAGATGGCAACACAAGAAAGTCATTCCGTAATTGAATTGTCCATATTTAAATCAATTTATAGTTTATAAATGTATACATCGAACTCGGTGAAATGCAAACTTTGTGTTTTATTTATAACATCTATTTATTTATTTTTTTAAACAGGTTAATCCATCTCAACATTGGAATGAAATGCAAGCTGAAGAGGTTAATGATTTTTCCAACCTTACAGAGAAGTCATTTGAGGTAATTGAGAATTAAGTGCATGCGTTATCCTTTAATTTCCCTTTCAACATTGTCAGTTTCAAGAGGTTAATGATTTTTTTGTACATCATTCATTGTGCTTTACAGAATCATGAAAGATTCAGGTCCAAAACTTCAACTTATGGTTGCTCTTTTACCGGTGAAAATAATTAGAAACCAATGATTTAGTTAAGGTATATAATTTTATGAAAAGTTTTAGTTATGAGTGAAAAATAAGTGGTTATCAAATGCATTTTTACTTATCTAAAGCCACTTTGTTTTCAATGATTTTGCAGGTTCTATTTGAAGTGCTTATAATCAAATTAGTTTTGATTAGAATCAAGTGCTTATAACGGATGCACCAACTTCTTTTTCTAGATTAATGGATGCACCAGTTTTGATATAGAAATTGGAAGAAATTGATGGATGCACCAGCTAGAAATAGAAATTGGAAGAAATTGGTGGATGCACCAGCTCCTTTTCCCTTTTGCCCCTTTTCCTTCTGTATTGGATTGTGATGGTATTCTGAATCTTAAATTACTTTTTAAACTCTTTTTGAGACACTTACAATATATAATTGGTATTTTTGGTTTGATTGCAATTGCTGAAAGTTATCTATTAGTGTCATTTAGAAAAAAAATATTCTTAATTTCATATCAGAATGGCCAACTCTTGCTTTGTGCCTTTCAAAGAGATCCACGAGTGCTTCAACAAACTTCTCCAGTTTTTATGCTATTTAAGCGTGAACTAAGTTTAGAAACAGAAGCTGAGGCTCAAGAAAAATAGAAGCACCTCCTGATGTGGAAGTAGATGCAAAGGTTGGAGTTGGGTAATGGGTTAGCAGGCTGCTTAAGAAATTTCTCAATAAAAATTTCTCAGGCTGCTGAAGAAATTTAGTTCATTACGCCAACCTATTCTAGCATCATTTTAAAATAGAGCAATATACATCAAAATTCAATATATTGAACTTGGATTTAAGAATTGAATTGCTAATAGGGGGTTACAATAATGATTCTATGAAAATATATTACAACATGAGTTCACTTAACGGGAACCAAAATAATAATAAGAAAATCTAACATTTCTAAAATGAATACAATGCTGCCATCACACAGTCCAAACAACCACGAGCAGCCAAAACACATGAGTTAAGCCGAGTATGCCTAGATCAATAGCCTTTTGCAGTGACTTCTTCAATAGCCTCTTACGGATGAAAGCCCCCGGTAACAGTCCATTAAGCAGAGCATGCCCAGATCAATGACCCCCAACCATTCTGCTTTTCGTGGCCAAACATTTTACAAAATTAATTAAAGTTGGAGTAATCATAGTTAAATAGCGTATAAAGAATAAGAAGTAACTATTCATATTAATTGTATTTATAGGAAATCAAGTATTACAATAATAACGGCGGAAACGTATTCGGGTTACCTCAAAGTTGTTTTACCCGAATCGGAAACGAACTGTTGGATGCGTCACATGTCGGCCAAGCCTCGATCAATCTCGCAGTCGAACTACACTACGTATATAGTTGTTAATGGCAATGAATCTATATATATATATATATATATATATATATATATATATATTGTCTTTGAAAAGGTAAATAAGAGATCTTATTCAAAACCAATTATGCAAAGCCTATATACATGATCATGGAACTATGGAAGCCCCTGTTCACCAAGTAATCAACAACTAGCAAAGAAACCTATCCAACTTACAAGCATTTACTGCAACCATCATTTACCCAAAGGGAGACATTGAGACATGAATAGAAGGTGAGAGCAATACCACTGGTAACCCCATAAATCAGATGACAAAGATAGTTGTGAGGTAAAATAAATTTCTTTATAATCCAACACGACTAGTTATTCAGTCAAATCTAAACCAGTTGAATATAACTTATACCAGTAAACCATAGAAGGATGTACACCACTATAGTTCATCTGGTTGGACTCTTCATGCCACCCATTGGTGATTAATAATCAAAGCAGCCAAGATAATGAAGGCAGTCAACACTAGATTTATCAATACAACTATGAAAACACTAATTAGAGAAAATGCAATCAGAAATCTCCCATTCTCTACACTGCCATTCGTCAACTAAAAAATGAAGGCAATTGCAATTATATTAATATCGAATCCATTCATCAAACCATTTCATAATTCTAAATTCACAAAATAAAATTCATTGAACGTTTGAAAGAAATATATCAAACCATTATCAAATAAATAAAGGAATCTTATGCTTCCACACCCTGAATAGAAGAACTACTTAGGCGAGTCAAAAAAACATAGCTAGCATTGTGGGCTTTTCACCAAATAGAAGTCAAAAGGAGGTTTTGAATAAGAATTAGCCGGAACCCCAGCAGAATGTCTTGACCATCAATACTCTAGTATATGGGCAAGAAATCAAGCTTCTTCTTCGCCAGCGGGCTATATCTCATAGCATTGTACCAATTGCAATTATATTATTATTGAATCCATTTATCAAACCATTCCATAATTCAAAATTTACAAAACATAATTCATAGAACTATAGTTTATATATATATATATATATATATATATATATATATATCAAATCACCGAAACAATCAACCATTTTAATAGTAAGTCAACACATGCAGAACTATTGATTTTAACAAAATAGATATTAAATAAGAACTCAAGCACTCAAAATATACACACATTTAACTACCCATGTTCAAAACTATAGTAATCTATACTCTGTTATGTATTGCGATTTGGGACGGGAAGAAAGGGAAACAAATAATACAAAGTTTACAATAGTCAAGGGTATATAATTAGAGATTCTCACCATTAGGGTTTTGAAATTGTAAAACCAATAGGGCTTACCTTCAGAGTCCAGTGCATCAGAAAGATGGGGCTTACCTTCAGAGTCCCGTGTTTCAGAAAGATAAGGCTTCGAAGAAGAAAAGTTGTCGTCGTTGAGATCATAACATGGATTTCATCCTCGTGCTGAAGATGGAGTTCGTGATCTTCAGAAAAAAATAAAATTGCTTTAATAATAATTAAAAAAAAAAACAGAGTTTTTTACGACGTGAGCCACGTTTTAACATATAATGTTTGCGTGTTTTAAACAACCTGACGTGGCCTTTGCCAAGTCAGATTCGAGACTTCTTGGAGAGAAATCATTCGGTTTCTCTATCACTACTCATAAAATAAAGCTCAGAAAATGACTTGTGTCCCTCATCATGAAGTGAACACCTAGCTAAAATATCATACTGGACAACTGGGCATTTTATTATTTTTGGGTCTTGCTTGCTTGGCAGCCAAATACATGATTAAGACAAAATTTTCAGATTTTTAAAAAATAAAAATAAAAACAAAAACAAAAACAAAAGCTGTTTTGGTTTTAAGTGCATTGTTAAGTTAAATGGCCACCGCCGGCGGCGGCGGGGGTGGATTGAGGTCGTCGGCGGGATCTTCTAGCACCGGTGATTCTGGCTTTTTATAGAGAGCTCTCACCTTTCCTTCTGTTGAGTAAGAAAAAGATTGATCATTCAAGGCTTCGCATAGGGCTTCAGTGAAAAATGATTTATTGCAATCTAGGGCTTCAGTCGATTGGATCATCACTTCTCCATTATTTCTATTTTTCTGTCTAATTTTCGGTCAACATCAATTTCATTAATATATATATACACACACCCTAAGGTATTTAAGTCATTTGTCACTAAAAGTTGAATGTATTTCAGTAATTTTGACAAGTCCGTTAGTGTATTTAACGGTCCGTCACACGTAAGGGAGGTCCGTGTAAGATATTTTCAAAATTAAGAGAGGTCCGAGTAATTTTCGACATAAGAGGGGATATCTCTGTAATTATGACAAACCATATGGGAGGTTTATGTAAATTATCCAAAAAAAACCACATTTCTCAATTCAAGTTAGGGGTCCTACATTCACTTCGGATATGGCCTAACGGTTTATTCGCTGGATTTTTGAGCTTAGCAAGTTTAAGGTCCGGGATTTGAGTCCCGCTGAGTATTCTTTGTGGCTAGTCTCCGTTGTTCCTATAGTGACTTACTTGGCCCAGGTGGGAAGGCGCCCTTCCGGGTCATCGGGAATTAGTCAAGTTGTTGAGAGACCCTAAGGGTTCGTGCCATCCCAAACACCCTGAGTTAAAAATAAAATAAAATAAAATAAAATAAAATAAAATTTAGGGGTCCCATAGTACTTTTTATAACATTTACCATCACTTATAAAACGTAAACTGTAAACTATGACGTGGATGGAAATCTACTCTGAATAATTTGGGAGAAATTTATTATTAATTTAATTTAATTTAATTAATTTTTTTTTTTTGGAATTGAAGGAGTATTTATATTGTTCGATTTTGGGATTGACTCTTTAGTTAAAAGAGTAATCTTCAAATTGAACTTAAATGCTTGAATTCGAATTCAAACTGTCAAAGCTTGACTGGTGATATATTTGACAAGAGAACAAGAATGTTCAAATTGAGCTTTAAAAGTTTAAATACAAATTCAAACTGTCTTGACTTGTTAAGATGACTTGTGAGTATTTAAGTCCAAACCTACATGTCCATAGTTTTATTGACATGGAAAAAAATAAGAACGAAAAATTGAATGGAAAGGAAAGAAAAGATATGCATAAGACATTTCTGGAGAATATATTATATCATTTACTCTTTTTTTTTGTTTGAATAAAAGAGAATAAAATGAGATCATACCTTATTTTACTTGTTAGATGAGAAATTGTTAGACACATTTTTTGGTAAATTTTGTATTAATGACATGACAACCAATTTGGGTATAAATTGACACGTGAAAAATGTTACAGAAGCTACATTCAGAGGCAAAGGAGATTGAAGCATTTGAATTATTTAATAGATAGGGATTATAATTTTAGTATTTATCTTTTAGTTGATGTAAATTAAATATTTATGTTTATCTTTAGGATTAGTTTATTTTAAACTTATAGTTAGTTGAGTTATCGATATGATTAGATTTTATTTGAAATTAGTAATTAGTTATTTGATAGAGTTTGATGTATTTAGAATGCTTATGCATATGAGTTTGTTTTTATGAATTATTCTATAAATAATCAAGGAGGCATGCTGAGATAGGGGTCCAGCACCCTCATAATCCTTATATTATTTTGTTTGCTTTCTCAAGCACTTTCCCCAAATAACATCCTTGCTATCTCTATCTCTTTCCCTCTCTATTTCAGTCTCGTTCTATTTCTCTCCTTATATCTCTCTCTATCTCTTCTCCCTATCACTTTCTATATCGATATTTTCTCCCCTTTCTATTTTCAAATTATTACTATATATTATTCACTAATAAAGTCCTTTTAATTAAGGCAATTAAAAATCAAAGAGAAATTATAGTCAATATTCTTAAAGAAACTGCAGTTGACAATTCACACTCGAACCATACAATTGGTTCTGGCACGCCCGCATTACATCAATTCCGAATTGAATCTAAGGAACCAATTTTAACGTCAACATTTTTGGCACGCCTGGTGGGATCCCACTAGTTGAGTGATTTATAGTGAAAATATGCAGTCGGCTTTTCAACCGACATACAAATATTCTGATCAGTCAAATCAGTCGATGTACCAGTATTATAATCAGCCATATGGTTGGATAGACGATTATCGGCATATTCCATAAGTCACTGATTATCAACATGTTCCAACAGAAGCTGATTATCGATAAACACCAACATTCGCTGATTATCAGCATGTTCCATAAGTCGCTGATTATCGGCAGGTTCCAACAGAAGCCGATTATCGACAAACGCCAACAATCACTGATTATCGGCATGTTCCAACAATCAATTATCACCAACCAGTTGTAGATTATTGGCAGACGCCAACAGTTGATTATCTGCAAGTTCCAGTCGCTGATTATCGGCATGTTCCAGCAATCAATTATCAGCAACCAGTTGCAGATTATTGGCAGGCGCCAATAGTTGATTATCCGCAAGTTCCAGTCGCTGATTATCGGCAGGTGGTAAATCAACAAATGGGAGAAATAAGATCCCAACTAAATTTCCAAATGGGAGAATATAAGGAGGCACTTGCTGATTATCGGCAAGTGGTAAATCAGCATGTTACCCCTGCATCACAATCTTTAGTACTCGGGGGGTAGCCAATTGCTAATCAGCAAGAAAGTTGGCTAGAATTTAAGCAGAGGATGAAAACACTACGGGAGGAGCCAACAGTCGCTGATTATCGACAAGTTTCAGCATCAGAATATCGGCAAGTTTCAGAAGCCGATTATCGGCAGCCAACAACCGATTATCGGCAAGTGGTACATCAACATATCACCCACGTATCACAATCTTCGGTACTTGGGGGAATCAACAAGAAAGTTGGCCAGAATTTAAGCAAATGATGAAAACTCTAATGGCTTAAAAACGGGAGGAGATACCCAAAGAGGGGAAGGAAAAAAAGAATTCCTCCTAGGATACTTACTACAAAGACACTAATTATGAAGTGTTCTCGGCTAAAGTTGATAATGAACTGGAAGTTGATGTTGCCGAGATTAACATCAAAAGCCTTACATATGTAAATAAGCATGTCACCATGGTTGCTGCCATGAATGGAAGGGTACAAATCGGCTGGAAGCAAAGCGGCCAATGTACCAGAATTCTTTGCCGATTGTGACATCTAATAATCGGCAAAAACAATCATCAGCTAAAAGAATCGTTTTAGCTTGCTGTCTTCGGCCTAACTTCAAGAAAAGAAGAAAAAGACTAGACGATGTTAATTTCAAAAGGGTACTTAAGATCGGTTGAGAAAATCGGCTGAGGCAAAATCGGCTGAAAAAAAATCGGCTAAAAAACCATCGGCTGCGGGGGGGCATGTGATTGCAAAACCCTAACAAAAGTTAGTTGATCAATATGCTCCACTTTAGCATACCGATTATAGTGAGGTCATGCCTACCGATCAATGGACTTTTGGGCATGATGCAGTCCTGCCGATTGAACCGAATGAATTGGTAAATGTTATTCTACGACATATCTCGACTTTTGGCGATTACAGTGGGGTCATGCTTGCCGATAAATAGACTTTTGGGCATGATATAATCCTGCCGATGGAGCTGAATGCGAAATCGACAGAAAGGAAATCAGCTAAGAAAACTCAGTCCTGGCATAATGTTATAGAGATAATAGGTAGATTGGCTAGAATGACGCTTCACAACAATTTAATCCTTGCCGATCATGATCATGATTTGCTAATGGAGTTAGAAAATGCATGGGGGGCAAGTCCTTCTTGGGTTTATGGTTGGCAATATCGGCAAACTATCTAAAAATCTAGGAAGAAGCCTAAATCGGCAGATTTGGCTAATATGAAATAAAGATCATCTTAGAGGTGATTCAGAAGAAATAAGGCTTTGGAACTCGTTGATTTGCAATCTGATTCCAAGTGACTAGCGCAGCCTTTGTTCAAAATTTCTTTTCAATATACTTTAAATTTCAAATATCTTATTAGCTTCGGCGGCTGACAGCCGATAAGACATTTAAAATTATGGGGCATTGTTGACACCCTTTTTGGTAAATTTTGTATTAATGACATGGCAACCAATTTGGGTATAAATTGACACATGAAAAAGGTTACAGAAGCTACATTCAGAGGCAAATGAGATTGAAGCATTTGAATTATTTAATGGATAGGGATAATAATTTTCGTTTTTATCTTTTAGTTGATATAAGTTAAATATTTAAGTTTATCTTTAGGATTAGTTTATTTTAAACTTATAGCTAATTGGGTTATCAATAGGATTATATTTTATTTGAAATTAGTAATTAGTTATTTGATACAGTTTGATGTATTTAGAATGCTTATGCATAAGAGTTTGTTTTTACGAATTATTCTATAAATAATCAAAGAGGTATGCTGAGATAGGGGTCCAGCACCCTCAGAATCCTTATATTATTTTGTTTGCTTTCTCAAGCACTTCACCCAAATAACATCATTGCTATCCCTATCTCTCTCACTCTCTATTTCAGTCTCGTTCTGTTTCTCTCCCTATATCTCTCTTTCTATCTTTTCTCCCTATCACTTTCTATATCGATATTTTCTCCCCTTTCTATTATCAAATTATTACTATATATTATTCACTAATAAAGTCATTTTAATTAAGGCAATTAGAATTCAAAGAGGAATTATATTTGTTCTCTTTCTCCTCGCATCGCTTGATAGTCAATATTTTTAAAGAGACTGCAGTTAACAACTCACACTCGAACCATATAATTGGTTCTGGCACATCCGCACTATATCAATTCCGAATCGGATTGAAGGAGCCGATTTTAGCATCAACTGAAAGGAAGGGAAAATATCAATTATAAAAACTTTTATAATAGCCTTGCCTTTCTTTCTTAGTGTTTTCCCTCCATATTTGAAAGGATAAAAATTTATAAAAATAAATGAAATATGACTCATTTTTTCTTTTTTCTCTTCCCTCCTTGCATCCCTTTACTAAACAAAGAATTTTTTTCCCGAAATATCCAAACAAAGATGTTTGTTCCTTCCTTTCTATCTTTCCTTCACCCCCTCTTTCTTTCTTCCTACCAATTAGAGCATAAATGAATGACACATTGTCATTTGAGTTTAAAACAAAATCAATCTTAATCTATCACATAGGAAATCAGGTGAAGGAAAGCCAAGAAGAAAGTGATCCATGCTTGTTTCTTAATTTCAAGAACCTAACCTATTATGAAACAGCGTTTTTGGTGCCAATTTGCCAATTTTAACACTTTTCTTTTCGTGGGCTATGAAGCCTTGGAGAAATTATTTCCTTCTACTACACCAAACACATTTCACGGAGTCCAAATTTCTTTTTGAAATCAAGTCCAGTCCGAATGAAGTGTTTTTTCAAGAGAAAAATTAAAAACCTTTCAGAGATTGCAATCCGGCCCGTCCCAAGCCCCACATGGCCAGGCCCAGCCCGTTGAAAAGTCAAAACCCGGTGGGCTCGGGACTTCCCGAAACCACGGGCCAGGCACCGACCCGTTATGAACCCTGAAATTGATATGAAGTAAATTGCGAAGTCAACAAAATCTGCTTCACAATTTGGATGTAACTGAGAGCGAGAAAGAAAAAACGGGATTGGATTCCAATTGACAAGAGCACGTTTTAAAACACATTGGTTCTACCTACTGTCTTGTCACACTCATATCAATTCTCATTGATTTTTTCCTATCTTTGAAATTAAGCAACAACTATAAAATACATGGTTTGGAAATGAACTATTTTTAAACATTCTACATAGAGACAACATAACAGACTGTTTTTTTGCCAACATGTAGCACAAAAATCAGTAACTATCACCACAACTGTTCAATTTCAACAAGGAACAGCCTCTGAGATGGATGCTCACATATATCTTTAATCTCTCTCTCTCACACACACACACATGACACACACAAAGGTTCGTGAATATCCTTATTAATTTAGTCTCACAAAAACACACACAAACAGAGATGGATTTGCTGAGTTTTATACTATGTGTTCTGTTTATCTGGACTTCGGTTCAAGGCCTATTATCAATTGCAAATGGAACCAAAGCTAGTCCGGGCAAGCTTCCACCGGGACCGGCACCACTGCCGTTCATTGGAAACATTCTTAAACTCAGCAACCAACCCCATAAATCTCTGTCCGACCTAGCCAAAACATATGGTCCTATCATGACCTTAAAACTAGGCCAAATAACCACAGTGGTCATTTCTTCATCAACCATGGCCAGAGAAATCCTCCAAACACAAGACCTCTCCTTCTCCAACCGATTCGTCCCAGATGCAGCCCGAGCCCGTGACCACCACCTAATCTCAGTGTCTTGGCTACCTGTTTCAACCCAGTGGCGAAAACTCCGGAAAATCTTGAACTCCCATGTATTTTCAAGTCAAAAATTGGATGCTCAGCAACAGCCGAGGTGCCAAAAAGTTCTGGAGCTCATTGACTTTGTCCACAGTTGTTCCAAAGCAGGTGTTGCAGTGGATTTTGGACAAGCTGCATTTAGAACTAGCCTTAAACTGTTATCAAACACCATATTTTCTGTGAATTTGATTGATCCAGGTTCTGATATTGCACAACAGATCAAGGAATTAGTTCGGGGCGCGATGGAAGAGGCTGGAAAACCCAATTTGGCTGATTACTTCCCTTTCCTTCGAAAGTTTGATATACAAGGTATAAGAAGTAGAATGGAGATTCATCTTGGGAAGATGTTTGGGTTCTTGGATAGTATGATCAATAAACGATTGGAGATGAGAAAATTTCATGGCTATATCAAGAGCAATGATGTGTTGGATACACTTCTCAGTATCAGTGAAGAAAATAGTGATGAGATTGACAGAATTCACATCCAAAGGTTGCTATCGGTATGTATCATACAATACTCAGTTATAGCTAGATTGTTTATCATTTTTCTCGAAATCCGAGGATAGTAAAGGGGTAAACAAAACCATCCCTTTTTTGCCATTTCCCTTTGATTCCTTCCCCTTCAACTCTTTCAATCCAAACACAGTTTAACTCGTAATTAATTCGAACAAGACATGTTCTACCATTAAAATCAATAGCAATCTTGTTATTGCACGACATAACTGTAGTACTGTACTGGGTAATGCCCTTTATTTAAAAGGGCCGGGGAAAAAAAAAAAAAAAAGGTCTTTATGTAGAAATGTTGCTTAATATTTTTAATTCAAACAAGATGGGTTTTTTTCATTAAAATCAAAGCAACAATTTTTGGCTTTGAAGGAGGGTGACCATGGCGATGTCCTTTTTTAGGAGTAACGACACTAGTGTTTATGTAGAAATGTTTCATTAGTCAGTGAAGTTACAAGCCTACACAAACTACATGTTACAGGATTTACTTGCCGCGGGGACAGACACAACTTCAAGCACATTGGAATGGGCAATGGCAGAGATACTACACAATCCACAAACTCTTTCGAAAGCGAAAGCTGAGATTGAACAAGTTGTGGGCAAAGGCAAGCCTGTGGAAGAATCAGACATCGCACGCCTACCATACTTACAAGCAATCATAAAAGAGACCTTCAGGCTACACCCAGCAGTGCCATTCTTGGTACCTCGCAAAGTTGATGAAAATGTTGAAGTAAGTGGCTTCACAGTCCCAAAGGGTGCACAAGTGATAGTAAATGTGTGGGCTATTGGCCGCGATCCGAGTGTATGGGCGAATCATGAATCGTTTATGCCAGAGAGGTTCTTGGGATCAGAAGTTGATGTCCGAGGCCGCAATTTCGAGCTACTTCCATTTGGCAGTGGAAGGAGAATATGTCCTGGAATGCCACTGGCTATTAGGATGGTTCACTTGATGTTGGGATCACTCATAAACTTATTTGACTGGAAGCTTGAAGATGGCATCACACCAGAGGACTTGAACATGGAGGAAAAGTTTGGCTTCACCTTACAGAAGGCTCAGCCTCTGCTCGCTATTCCTATTCATGTCTGAAGATACAAGAAATTCCTTCTCCCTTTCTCTCTCTAGAATTCCTGCATCTCAACCAAAAAGATCTCCCCCTTTTCTTTACCTTACTTCTCCTATTTATAGAGATTTACAAATGTCGATGGACTGCTGGATCTAGGCCCGTTCCTCCATGAGTCCCGGTCCTCTTTGATGGGCTTATGCGCGTTCGGCCCATATGACAGTGCCTTTCTATGGGCCTGACCCACCTGTATGGACTAAATGTCGCGTTTGCAAGTCATATCTGGCCCATGTCTTATCGGGCCTCCTCAACTGCCCCCATAATTACCCCTTGTTTAATAAGGGGGTAATTATTGAAGGCGTCTCATCATGACGTTGACGGCTCGAGAAACCCATATGGGGGAACGGACGGTCAGATCCAGAATCAATGTCCCGGGGCTAGATGAATTTCTCACCTTCCTGACGCTTCGGCCCTCGGGTCCCCCTCGCCTTTATAAGGCTCTAGAATACCACTCCATGCCTTTTTACCGTCTCCATCATCAATCAAATCTCTCTCTTTTTAGAACAACGCTAAGCTTTTTCCGGTGAAATCCTTCAAGAGTCGTTCTTCCAGCGGTCTTGCAGTGCTCTTTGTTGCTTTCTACCTTAGAGGTTAGTTTTGTTCCTTTTTACTTTCGGCAGGCTTCTTTTTACCCCTTTTAGATCCTTCAAACACTTCCGCCATGGTTGTAGATCTAGATGTTCTTCGTATGAGACTTAGACTTCCTGACAACATCGAAGTTAGGGTTTGCCCTAAGGATGTTAATATTATGACTGGTGCCGGCCTCCTGCCCGGCGAAGTTTTATTTTCAAACCTTCAACTGAATGTCGTTAGGTTCCCTCTGCACCCCTTCTTTAATTATGTCTTCAATAGACTGGGGATATCCCCCCTGCAGGTAAACCCCAATTTCTTTAGAATCATATCCGTTATGCTTCTGTTGATTCGTGACAGCAGTCTGGACCTTGACCTCATAGATCTTCTTCTGTGTTATAAGGTCAGTAAGATCCGAACTAACGAGCCCTTCTACCACCTCTACCCGATCGAGAAGATGTCCATATGTACGGACACAATCAAATCTGAAAAGGGTTGGAGGGATAACATCGTGGGCATTAGTGGGGCTTGGTCTTCGCCGGCTGCAGAGGGTTACCCAATCCCGAGCGCCTTTGGCGTCTGTTCTGTTTCCTCATATAAGAAATTCAAATCTCACAAACACGATTGCCCCTGCGAAACATGCGTTCCCCGCTTTTGTAATTTCTTATGCCGCTCCTTAGGAATACCTTGTGATGACTTGAGCTACGGTGTTTGCAGGGATAGGAGTAATTACTTGAAGAAATACGTTCTGAACGATATTCCTTCCTGCTCAGACCTCCTCACTTCAGACAACCTCCTAGCGCTCTCATCCCTCGGCTACAACATGAGCAGGCTTCAGATTCCTTCTTTTGGCAGGAAGAAAAATACTCCCCCAGCCACTTCTGCTGCTGGGGCAACCTCCTCTCCTGCATCAGTCTCTTCCTCAGCCACCATCTCTGACACTATCCCGAGCACGGTGGCTATTAACTCTGTTGTCAGCAACCCTGCTGCCAACCCGAGCGCGTCTCCCCAAATCACCACAGCCCCTGCTGCCGCTGGGGGCGCTCGGGACAAAGAACGAGGTAAAAGGCCTCATCCTGACAGTGGAGTCGACCCTGAGGAGGAACCTCTCATAAGAAGGACCCGGGTCTCTGGGCCGGGTGCTCTCTTGCATCGCCCGGTCAGAGCTCCTGCCCCCTCCGGGCCTATTGCAGCTGGTGCCTCTGCTTCTGCTTCAGGCTCCCCTTCTCTTCCCACTTTACCACCGTGGGCCCCTCGGTACACCCGAACGGATGGGACGTTCGTGAAGCCGAACAAGACCATGCTGAAGGATGGCCAGACCGCCATGGCGTATTATAGGAGCATGTGGACTCCGAAAGACCTTGAGGCGGCGAAAGGCCTATCCCAGAAGGATGTGTTCAGCCACTTTCCCCAATCTGCCATGGAGGTGACTTTTATTTTCCAACTCATGAATTCTCTCATATTATTTGGTCTTGCCTTCGCCCGACCAGACTATTGGCTTAACCGTTATTAATGTACATCTATGCAGACTTTGTTCGGAATGATGGCTATGCAGAAGCAAGTAGAGATGGGGAACGCCAGGGCTCGTAAGTTTTCTGATAGCCTGGAGGTGGCCAATAAAGAAAACGACCTTCTCGCCAGCAAGAATACCGAGGTATTGGCTTGGCTTGAAAAAACTGAACAAGAAAGAGATGTCTTGAAGAAGGAGAACGACTCTCTTCAGGATGAGAAGGATGCCCTCCAGCTTGAAAAGAGCGTCTGGCAGACTGAGCGTGATTCAATCAGAGACGAAAAGGCAGAGCTCCAGCGCCTTCTGGCTGATGAACAGTCTGCTCGGATGGCTTTTGAGAAGAGAGCTCTGGACGAGCGTACTGCTCTGATTGATACAATCAGCAGAGTGAACGGTGGAATGCTGGCTCTTCATGCTCGGTTCTCAAGGGTCGGCGCTCTTAGATATGCTCAAGGATTCCGAGAAGGTTTCTCCGACCGAGTTCCGGATGAGGGACAGACCAGCTCCACTCCAGATGAGGTCGACAAGGATTTAGGGATCGACCCTCTGGGGGTCTATGTTGACCCAGAACCCACCGAAGCGGAGCGCATATTTGATGAGTGCCAGGACATTGCTTCCTCAAGGATCATTACAGCTCCTCCTACCGCTCTGCCTCTAACCGCTCCTCAATCGTCAACTGTGGTACCTCCCATAGCCACTGCTGACGTTGACCCCCAGCAGAATGATTCTGTTATTCATCTTGATTCCCCACCTCGTGAGGGTGAGACGGCTGATGGGACCGAGGAGGCGGGTCGGCACAACCAGGATGCTGTCGGTACTGAGGCAGCTAGTTAGGACTCCTCCGGACTCTTCGATTCCATACTTTTTTGTAACAATGTGACTTGAATATTTCATTTTTTGTAAACTCAATGCTTATTATGAATGAAATGACAGAACTCTTTTTCCCTTTTTCCTTTGTGTTGCGCTCTGTTCAACCTATTTTCAATACATATATACCTTTTCTCTCTTTTCTTTTATATTAACTTTGTCATGTGCTTGTTTATGGCAAGTGCTTGGCGTTCGGCTTGCGGTGCCAGCTGCCACTTTTCTTACTCAGGTGCCTGGCGCTCGGCTAGAATGCCACTTGCCACTTGACTTTTCATTTTATAGCAAGTGTCTGGCGTTCGGCTTATGGTGCCAGTTGCCACTTATCTTGCTTAAGTACCTGGCGCTCGGCTAGAATGCCACTTGCCACTTGGCTTTAAATTTTTAGCAAGTGTCTGGCGTTCGGCTTGTGGTGTCAGCTGCCACTTATCTTGCTTAAGTGCCTGGCGCTTGGCTAGAATGCCACTTGCCACTTGGCTTTAAATTTTTAGCAAGTGTCTGGCGTTCGGCTTGTGGTGCCAGCTGCCACTTATCTTGCTTAAGTGCCTGGCGCTCGGCTAGAATGCCACTTGCCACTTGGCTTTTCATTTTATAGCAAGTGTCTGGCGTTCGGCTTGTCGTGCCAGCTGCCACTTATCTTGCTTAAGTGCCTGGCGCTCGGCTAGAATGCCACTTGCCACTTGGCTTTAAATTTTTAGCAAGTGTCTGGCGTTCGGCTTGTGGTACCAGCTGCCACTTATCTTACTTAAGTGCCTGGCGCTCGGCTAGAATGCCACTTGCCACTTGGCTTTTCATTTTATAGCAAGTGTCTGGCGTTCGGCTTATGGTGCCAGCTGCCACTTTTCTTGCTCAGGTGCCTGGCGCTCGGTTAGAATGTCACTTGCCACTTGGCTTTAAAAAAAAAATTTTATTTATTTATTTATTTATTTTTATTTTTTATTTTTAGCAACCCATTGAAGAGGAAAGTTATTTTTATAAACTTCAGTAATTTGCACATTCATACGTACTTGATTGACAACAAACAACATCCAATAAAGCCGAAACTTAGCTTTTATTGGTAGTACCTCTTCAGAGACGTGACATTACAGGGCTTGCTGACCAACCTTCCCGCCATGGTTTCCAACGTATATGCTCCCTTGCCTATGACTTCTGCAATTCTGTATGGGCCTTCCCAGGGTGGCATCATTTTTTTGACTATCCCCACCTTTCTTTTCAGAACCAGATCGCCAGGGGCAAAGTCCCTGTGTTTCACTCTTTTGTTGTGACTATTCGCCAATACTTGCTGATATGATGCTAACCTTATAGCTGCAGCGTCCCTTCTTTCGTCTATCATATCGAGGTTCAATCTTAACATCTTGTCGTTCTGATCTCGACTCCATGCTAAGCTTCTGATAGTGGGGACCAAGTGCTCAACCGGTATAACTGCCTCGGTACCATATGCCATTGCAAACGGGCTCTCCCCAGTCGGCCGCCTTGGGGTGGTTCTGTAAGCCCATAGGACGTTCGGGAGCTCATCCAACCACTTCCCTTTATGGTCTTCCAGCTTCTTCTTAATGCAGGTGAAAATGGTTCTGTTTGTGATTTCTGCTTGTCCGTTGGCCTGAGGATGACTTACTGCAGCCAACTTCTGGTTGATTCCATACTCCTCCAGCAGCTCTCTTACTTGCCTGCTGTCGAGGTTCGTGCCATTATCCATGACTATTGATCTTGGAACGCCGAAACGGCAGATAATATTGTTCCAAATAAATCGTCTCACATGAGTCTGAGTCACGCTAAGATATGGTTCTGTTTCCACCCACTTAGTGAAGTAATCCATGGCCAGTAACACATACTTGTTCTGAACTCTTGCAGTTGGCAGAGGACCGACCACATCCATCCCCCATTGCGCGAAAGGCCATGGCGAGGCCATTACGTGCAATTCCTCAGGTGGTTGGTGGATCAATGATCCATATCGTTGGCATTTATCGCACCTTCGAGAGAACTCCTCCGCATCTCTTGACATGTTCGGCCAGAAATACCCTTGTGACATTGTTTTATGCGCTAACGATCTTCCCCCAGAATGATTGCCACACACACCCTCATGAATAGCTCGCAATACCTGGTGCGACTCCGCGGGGGTGACACACTTCAAGTATGGGCCAGAGTAGGATCTTCTGTACAGCTGGTTATGCACGATGGCGTACTTTGCAGCATTCTTTTTGAGTTTCCTAGCTTCATCCCTTTGCATAGGCAAAATGTAATACCCCGTAATTAATTAAAGAGTTTAGTGTATTTAAATTCAATTATGTGTGGATTCCTGTACCTATTATTGTGCATGCTTCATTGTTATATTAAGTTCATTAAATGGTGCATGTA